GAACTTTTATACAAGAATCAACAGTCAAATTGCAAATGCCTCGCACATGTAACATCTCCATTGGGCCAAAATGCACCGATATCAATACTTCATATGTTACTTGGTTCCTCGAAAATTCTCCTCTTGGACTTAGCCTAAAAGTGTGGACACTTTTTAGCCTCCGGCGAAACCTAGAGTCTATACGGCTTCGCCGCACGACTAAAAATGATTGTATCATCATTTCTGGGAGGACCTAATTACATGTTTAACACTCTGCTAGTTGAAAATTAATACATTTTTGAAGTTGAAGCTATGACTCACCTGATCCACTGTGAATACTTTCTTCACAAGCGTAGGCATATGTTGGATCACTACTCGTATAATTAAATGGCAAAGGTGTGTAACCGGCGACTGATTGTGGAAGGTAAGTGTTGGCGTACGGCATCGTTGATGAGTCCCACTGAGAGCCACCTGGGTGCGGTAACGGTCCAACTGTATCTCGATCCAGCTCATCGCCCAATTTTAGACTAGATAAAGCTGTAAATTCATTTAAGATTACAAAATCAAGTTAATTTATAATCATAGAAGAAAAACAGAAAAAGCAACCCAGGATCAGGCATGAACAGAGTTAACAATGGAGATGTTGCATGTGTGAGAAATTTGCGATTTGACTTTTGACTCTAAAGTAAAAGTTCGCAAGAAACACTATGGTGCCATTGGTTTTCTCTGAAATCAACTCCCAAGCTCGAAAAAAAGCTCTCAAGTTAAGGCCAAAATGGAGGGGATATCCGACGCTATCCTGAGAGTACACGTCTACATCAGACAAACTTTCCATGCAAAGATAGGGAGCAAATACATTAGCAGGGTTGCCGTGTTTTCAGTTTTTGAGTCCTCAAATAAAGTGGCAGCCTTGTCAATGTATTTGCTCCCTATCTTTGCATGGAGAGAATGTCTTGATGTAGAGGTGGACTCTCAGGATAGTGTGGGGTATCCCTTCCATTACACCCTCAACTTGAGAGCTTTTTTTTGAGCTTGGGAGTTGATTTCAGGAAAAACCAGTGGCATTATCTTGTTTCTCGCAAACTTTTACATAGGAATCAATTGTCAAAACACAAGTTCCTCACAAACGCAACATCTCCATTTGCTTAGTTTTGAGTTGAGAATGGTATTAAGTCAAAGTATACAAAAACAGCTAAAAGTGAAATACCTTTTTTGATACATGTTTATTGTCATAAACTGATAGTGAATTTTACTTTTTTTAAAACAGGTGCGTAAATTTTCCTCTGGCATTCACCTTGTAGGAACTAAATGAGGAAAAGTCACTGAATCAGAGGATTTTTCTCACGGTTTTTTTGAAAACCTACATTCGTCAGAGAAAATTTATTCCCATGTGTTTTGGTATTGAATTGATGAGAACTTTTATATTTTTAAAAAAAGGATACCTGAACGGGTTCCTCTGTAATCGAAAGCTTTAAAGGTAAGCCAGAAACAGGTTACAGTTTTAAAGATTTTTTTCCTGTAGCTTTATTCAAATCTTGTACCTTCAGTTGCAGAGAACTGTTGGGCTATACTTTTAAGAGCATGCTTTAAGGAATTTTATTTTTACAAGAAATTTGCTTTTTCAACAAGCAGTATCTGGACGTTTTCTTCTAAAATCAATCATGTGAGCGATATTTTTGGAAAACCAAAGTACTCCAATTCAGGACTTTCTGGAGGATACCCCAATTTATCTCCTTCTTTGAAGACTTCAATGATATCCAATTACCTAACTCTCACAACTTGTAAATTTCTGACATAAAAAGGGACGTAGAACTCAGTGCGTAGTTATAAGAACAAGAAGCCAATTTAAATTGACTTACCGCTTGACAGGAAATCTCCGAATATATAATAAGATTGTTCCGAGAAGGTAGTTTTGTTTACAGTGTGTTTTATGTAACCAGCTTTCAACATCTGTGATGCGTATTTTCTGGCATCCCTTCGATCAGCAAAACCTTTCACATGTGTTGCTAACCAGTCCACAACATCAGCACCTAAAAACAGGCATCAAGAAATCATTAAGATAGGAATGACACAATGGGTCAGGTTGAAAGACAGCAAAAACAAAGCCTGAATTTGCAGAGTTCACACTTCCAATGATTAAGCCTGAAATTATTTGACTTCTCAAGCTTTAGAAATAAAATAAAAATCATAAGTCGATGATATTCCCTAAAAAAAAAAGATTACTGACATGTGATTAGTGATATAAAGACAAGGTGTCTTCCAAAATTTCAATTTGGATTTTCCTGATTTTATCTCATATTTCATATGCAATTTCCTGATTTTTTCAAGAGGAGATTGACATTCGTTTGATTCATTTAACCAACCAAAATATTTAATGGCTCGAGTCAACTCTGTCACTTTTTCCAGCCATGAACTGCGTGAAGATGGAAAATGCTCAATGCACTCGGAATTTCTTGACCCACGGCAGATTTTCCTGATGACAACCAATTTCCTAATATTTTGTGGTTTCTCTAGTTTACAATGCTGATAATCGCTCGGAAAATTTATTAACACATTGATACAATTCAAAAGGTGTGCGAACACTGGCTTACCTATAAAAGCGTTCGGTATAGTAATTTTGAGCCAGATCCTATCTCGAATTTCGAGTCCAGAATTTGGTTTGGCCATAACTCTGACTATTGTTAACATATCCGTATCTACTGTTAATACTGGATCCTCTAGATGTTCTGAAAATGTCACAAGAAAAGACTCATTAATGCATTCATGACAGAGAGGATTAATATTAGAATAACCAAGAAACTTTTATGAAGTGACTCTTTGAATGATTTTAAGGTTACTAATTACAGTGCTGTCTTTGCGTTAGGTCCTGAGAAGTCACTAGAAAAACGAAAGAAAAATATTTAGGGCTCACAGGTATCCACTAAATTTTCTTTTTGAGGTAAATCGGAGGCAACGCTCTCAAAATAACCTGGCTCAAGTTGCAGTACACGTCAATGCTTGTTTCAGAGCAACTGGTTATTTACCTGCGTAGGTTTTGAGAATAAAACTAACACATTGATTGTCGAGCCGCTTTTTGGGTTTGGTTCTACTGCATCAAGAATTCAAGCAGTACCTCTGCATACCAAAGCAATGATGAAGGGAATGATGTACCAACTGCCGTGTCAGTGAGGCACTTACAGGGACGATAGGTGTAGCTCCTACTTAAGCAATAACTACTAGCTTGGGGCGATTTGCACAGCAGTTAACGTATCACAAATAGATAAAATAAATAATATGAAAGAAAAATGATAAAAAGTCGATTTATTACTTACTTTCTGTTTCAGCAATGCTTGAAGTTAAGGATGAACTAGTGGATGTTAGTGTACTAACGGACGGAGGTCTCAGAGGTTCTATAGGATACTCTCCTAAAAAGATAGAGGTCACATAATTAAGACAAGCGTGAGGAAATGAAAGACAAAGGGGAAAAAGTGCTCTCTTCTCTGATTGGAAAAAAAATATTATCAGCTATAAACTGCATTGTCTACACAAATAGAAACTGAAATTCAAAAAGATTAAACTCATTGAAAATTTTAAAAAAAAATTATCCAAACAATAAGTAAATAGAAATAAAAAATTACATCTCTTGATTTTTTGAGCGAATTGATAACCAACATTTACATGCGAGGAGCAGCAGAGGAAAGCGTCCAGATAGCAAAAAGCAGGATGTTGCACAAGCAGAAACTAAACAACTGTCAAATTTCTCAACTAGCAATCCTGAAATTTATTTTAAAATTATATCTATTGGAGCCTGAATAACATTTCATAGTTTTGAGTAATCTTTTTGCCATGCGCTTGAGGCTGAGAACCATGTGTAATACGTGAGACCGCACAGTGTTTGATTCCTAAGTATTTCTAAGAAAAGAAACCTTTTTTTCTATCACTTGAGGGCAAAATCGTAAATGCTTAACCCCACCTCCTTGAGATACATTTATTTTGAAAGAAAAATGCATTGTTACTATAGGGATTTTGTAGAGCTCAACAAAAATCATATCCACAACAAAAAAGTTGTAAAAGCAATGGTCATTATGATGAGGTTACACTGAAGTAACGTATGACATAATTTTCCAAAAAAATTGCCGCTTACCTCCGGGATTTGTATGAAGCTCATTGGAATTTAAATTTTGATACTCGCACAGTCCTGAAATGAAAAGGAGAAAAATGAACGTAAGATGATAGTAAACAATAACCCGGGCTGTGCAGTGTTGCCAATTGTTGGACAAGGTGACTTGCCTAGATGTGGCTACCAACACTCATAATGACAGATGAGACTTAATTCCTAGAAGAGGCTTGAAAACTAAAGAGCAGAAAGTTAATAGCTTCCATACTGTTGATTACGTAAAACCTTTACACACTTTCATAGAAGCTATTTCATAAGCAGTTCCTTCCTTTCATAAAGGGACACACCTAATAAAATAGCTTACAAGCATCTCTTCAATTCTGGAGGAGTTCCAGAGATCACTTTGCTATCCAGCTGACTTGAGTCCGACTCATCTGTGTCGATTGGTTTCCTGGACCGCCAAAAAAATTTTGGCAAAAGAAAACTTCACCTTTTCTCATAATTTCAAAAGAGTTCTTCAGTATTGCTACCTCTCAAGGTTTTGTTGATTTTCCAGTTATTTCAAGGAGAATATTAGGGCTAAGAAAAATTTTAAAAAGCAAAGTAGTGATTGTTAGTTGTCTTTACCTCTTATAGCAGCAGTGTGAGCAACCCATGCTCCAGGATCGATGGGCCTCACTGGCTCTGTTCGGGGAATAGTAAAATAACCTTTTGGATTTGGATCCCAACATTTGGCTACGACTAATTTGATAGGTCTGAAAACAATAAAAAAATAGTGTCAGCTAAATTTGGAATTAATTGTGTGAAATATGACTAAATCCACTTCCGTTAATTCCTAGAAGTAATGAATTTGATTCTTTGAGGAGAACAAGAATAGGAGGCAAGAGGACACTCAATAACTTCCAGGGGATGCCTAATAATATTCCATCAAATTTTGACCTTATTCTGCAAAAAATTGACTTATTTAACATTTTTAAGAGAGTTTTCTGCTTAGGGTTTTAAAAATCCCTAGGATAATAGGAGCCAATTTTTCTCAGTAACAAATAGAGATGTTGAAATAAGATCATAGCATATAGAATTCTCAGTTCGCTGATTTCCTGATATTTCCCTTATTTTCTGCAGCGCATTCCTTGTCGGATAACCCTGAGTTTTTTCTTGCTTTCTCCTAAATTAATTCTGAAAAACTATGATTTCCTCCTGATTCAGGAGTAAAGTATGCTTGTTGATGTCAGAAACCATTTCTCTTTTTCCATATAAATTCATGGCTTGTGCAATATGAAATTTGTTCTTGATATGACAAGCAATAACTTACCCAGGTTTTTGGACAACTTCCCTCAGGACACGAACAGCACCATCATTTGACAAATCTTCAAAATTAATGTCATTTACTTGTAAAATCATGTCTCCGGGCTCAATTCTTCCATCTAAAGCTACGGCTCCACTGAAACGCACCATGTAATGAACAAGCGAGTTAAAAATTAGAATGACACAGGTATCGAAACAGATACTTAAAGCAGTGCATATCATCTTCAGATAAAATAAGAGCTTTGGCATCAATTTTTTAAAAGCATATTTGTCATGAATGACTGGTGTGCAGGCAAGATAGCGGACTCCAACAGGCCTAAAAGATAATTACAAGTAAATAAAATTCTGCCAGTGACACTTAAATCTTCAGTTTAGTATTCTCTCTAAAATTATTCTTTCCTACGTTTATGCAAAAATTTTTCTGTTACTATTCTTATATTGATGATTTTTAAACTTTTTTGGGGGGGTTCATTTGACACATAAAAATGATAACTTGATCATTTTGACACGGGCAGCAACCTTTGCCCTATTCTTTTTTCAAATCGAAACATAATAATTTATTGCATCAATTAAATTAAGCATGGCATGTAGCTCAGCGTAGAACATTAATAGTTGGAGTTCATATTTGTTTCTCCTGAAACCCCTCCCCCTTAGAGTTTGTTAGATACCAGGCCACCAGGTGATTATTGAACTTTTCAAAGGAACTTACCCTTTCATGATCGAGCCAACGTAAATTCCTCCATCTCCACCTTGATTTGATTGGCCAACTATCGATATACCTAGGAAATTCACTGTATCCATGTTCAGGGTGACAGTAATAATATTCAAAGACATTGTGGAGTCAGTAATGCTAGAGAACGAAGATGTTCGTGACATTGCTGCAGGCTGCAGTCTGTGTCGCCTCCTTCTCTGCGTTCGCTTCTGAGGACATCTGGATGCTACACTACTGGAATCTGTCGATGTAAAAGAAAAAAATTTTCAAATTAAGAAGTAAAAGTAGAAAAAATGGAAAGTCCAAGTTTGCATCATGTTATGCTCACGTTTCGAAGAAACCCAAGCAAATGATTACTGAACTTGTAATGAAGAGGATGCAATATGCCACTTGAAAACAAATAAAATAATACAGGGACTGCAGTTTATTGATACAATCTCTATGCAACATGTTATGCTCACGTTTTGAAGACACCCAAGCAAATGATTACTGAACTTGTAATTTAGAGGATGCAATAAGCCACTTGAAAACAAATAAAATAATATAGGGACTGCAGTTAATTGATACAATCTCTATACTGGATTATCCAAACTCATCAGGCAGTTGGCCTGCTGAGATAATGACAAGTTCAAATTATACAGAGGTGATAACTGATTGCCTTACTTTGAAGCTCTTCATTTGTTAATGCAGCAAAATTTAACAGTTCTGGAGTAAATGCACGAAAAAAGTTTGATGTATAATTGGATGGATTAAGCCGATATCAGCCTAACTGCCTGATTCCTGACTTTTTTTTTTTTTATTATTATTATTAACAGGGAACAAAACAGCATGATACCTTGGATACCAAGGAGTAAATTGGCAATTTGGTTCAACCAGTGAGAGATGTCTTGACTTGATTTTGCAATTGGGAACTACACTTTCTAGCTCATCCGTAAAACCACTTGTATACGAAGGGAAAGTAATGACACATACACTGCTTCCAAACTGAGCCAGAAAGTGTAGTCCTGAATTGCAAAATGTAGTCCATCTGAAGACAGAAACTTACCTAGTGTGATATTTGTATGACGCCCAGTAGTTGTTGTGATTCGACTTGAGGCATCGTCATCAGATTCTAAAAAACTTGTGGTTTCTATATCTGAGCTTAGCATTGAAGACTCGTACCCTCGGTGTTTAGAATGACCGTTTAAACCAACTCCTGAAAAAAAATTGTGCAGATACATTAAACTATTCAAATATACCAGGAATTGAAGCTAATCATTAATAGATTTACAAAGGATTGTGAGACTGGCGAGCTTAGTTAATTTCCTTGTGAGTCAATAAAATTAGGAGACCATGAAACGAGGAGATCTCATAATTTCTCATAGGGTGATGAGAATCAAATTTTTCCGAACTATAAGAGCAAGCATCACAGCGTCCATACGCACATACAGCAATACTCCAACAACTACTTTGGAAAATGTGTTTAAGAGATCCAAGAAAGTCACTTTTCAGCCCTGCTTTTCTTGAGATTGGCACATAAAATTCGATATTAAAAGCTCATCAAGCTTGGGACATTGTAATGAACATCATATCAAAGAATATCGAAATTTAGCTGACACCAAATTTCTTGGTATTCTGAGCATAGTCCTTGGATATCATACACTTTATGAAGATAGTCAGTGTGATAAATCCAATATAATAATATAAAATTTGTAAATTCACAACATTTTACAGCTGATTGTGAGAAAGACTTGCAATGTGTAAAATAATCAGACTATCATTGAAAGGGGTGGCTAATGTTCAGGTCAATTTTCAGTTTCATTTACCAATTCATTTTTTTTTCGTCTTGTTGAATAAAGGACACTTAAAAACTACCTCATTACTTCATAATACTTCAGAACTTACCATTGTGATACTGATATTTTTCATATTTATTCATGAGTTGCCTTGCAGGTTCTTTATGTAAAGTATGCAGCCCTGTGAACAGAAAATTGGTAAAATAAAGATTTTTTTGTGAACATCTAGGTAGAAACAGAACCTACAAATCTATTTAGTACCTTACGCATTTCAGACATAATTTTGTTCTCAATAGCATACAACTAGTGAGACTTCTTGCACAGCACAATGAACAGGTCAGTTACGCTGATCACAGAATCAAGGTTTGGTAGTTTAAGCTAAGATTAGCAAAAAATGATAAGATTTGTCCAAACACTTAGTTGCTACGTCGAATATCAATGGGGGTACTTCGAAAAACAAGGCGTATGATGTCATCCACCGCAAAAATTGAACTTCAAGGACAGCAAATGGAATTAGCGTTTATTTTTGAAAAAAATACATTCTGAGGAACCCTCAACTTTGAGCTACAAGAGGCGATGCATACAGAGATCAGAGAAACAGAAAGTTACATACCTGGTCGGGAGCTTATTATGGATTCTGTTTCTGTACATGTTAGATCTTCTGGTGCACTTGCAGGGGGCATCAGATTCAGCGGTGGCAATCTACGAAAGAAAAATTACGTCAAATGAGACTGTTTGGTTCGTGAGAATTTGCGATGTACTGTATGATATACATAATGAAATTTTTTGACAAAGCTTGGGGAGCAGATAAATAAAGGATCACGATTTGAATTTTTTTTGGAAAATTCACCAAAATTTTCAGATTATCAGAAGAGTCTCACCATACTTAGGTAAAGAAAAAGTAAGATGGTCCTCAGAACTCGTAAATGAGAACATGTATTTTCTGTTCCAGGCAGCAAAAACATAACGGGTCAATGCTCAATGTGATCACAATTTAGCAAAAGAGAGAAGAGACTGTCTTAAAATCTAGCAGACTTCCTTATCACGGATTCAAAATTGATTCTGAAGATTAAGTACTTTTACGTAATTCAGTATGAAATATTATACATGAAATATGTTATGAATTATTATTATATAATATGAATGTTTAGAATTTAGATGAAATGTAACTTACGATGGTTCTGGTTTGGGACGATCAGTTTGATTTTTCCCGTCTGAATGTTCAGCACTTTCTGTACATTGGGAGGTCCCATCGGATACATTGCTCCCTTCTGCACTGACCAACTAAAAAACGAGAAAAGATGACAATGATTAAAGTTTATCCTGATCAATATGTTGGGAACAACTGTTTCAACTAACCACTGTAACTTAGATGAATGTTGATCTTGTTAATTAATTATTAACTAACACTTAATGACATCACTTTATCCCATGTTTGTGTTGTCAGGCATCAGATGGTCATTTTACAGTATTTTACTCTAGTTCACACCCCCTGGTGCCAGGCTTCTGAATTAGAGGCAACTTAGCCTGCCTCTTCTCATCTGCCTATATGCACAGAAGTCAATGCGAGTCCTGACAAAAGCAGATGAAAAAGGTAAACCTATCTGAAATGAGGCATATGAAAAAGAAATAAGTAATGTTGCTAAAGTGAGTTTTACAATATATTTCACTTTGGGTGGACAATTTTATTGAAAGATCAATATTTTGTAAAAATAAAATATCTGATGGCTAAAATTGGGTTCGACTGAAGGAGCTCCTGCTCTCTGCATATCTGCAGTAGCCTTAAAATAAGGAATTGAAACTCGTTTCTTTCCTAGAAAAAAATATACATATTAGGAGGTATACCTTATACTTCCGTCACTTCCTTTTATGCTTCTCTATATCAGTGTTTTTAACTGAAGGAGCTGTGACCACATTTTAATCATTTCTGGATATGGTGAGAAAACTGCCATTACTTGGGCCATTCAATTCCAGATTTTTGAAGTTTTGAATCTCACATCTTGCTTTCGATAACACTACCACAAGTTCTCAAGCATACCTACAGAGCCCCTTCTGAGCACACTAAGAACGTAAACGACTCAAATTATCTAAAAATATTAGTAATCATTTTTCTGTTCTGCTACTGATATACTGCATGAAAAGTGGTGTTATTTAGAGGGCTGTTATCTCTTGGCAGGGACTTACCTCGTCACCTTCCAGGCAAAGTATCACAAGCGCCATGCGACGTTTAAAAATTTCTGCCGCCATTATATTTTTTTACAGAGAAATTGTTCAACGAAGCTGTCCGAAAATTACACCGGATTTTCTTTGTGCTGCCGATAAAATTTAGTGAAATTTTCGAACAGATTCAACCAACAATTTCTCAGTAAAAAAATAAAATGGCGGCGGAAATTTTTAAACGTCGCATGGCGCTTGTGATACTTTGCCTGGAAGGTGACGACCTGTTGTTACTTTCATCACAATGTCATGGGCTCCATTTCCACAAGTTGGGGGAGAGCAATTTCAGGCATGAAGCAGAAAAACATACTACTAATCTACTAGTAGAAACCAAAAAGGACCAAATAATATCATCCTCCTTAGTTCCTCTGGTGTTCAGATAATACAAATAGACTTAACAAAGCTGTACTTCCTTCTTGGTGGGTTACTTAGCTTCAGAAAAATGTTTATTAAGGATGGAGTGTCATTTTACCTCTCCACAAATATCGAGACAAATAACTTACCCAGGATACAACTCTGCCATTAAAACAAGGTAGGTGAGCATCATCTTCAATAATTTCTTCCTTCACCACTCTGGAACATTAATACAATTGTAAATTAAACAGGAGAATCTTGGTGACTGACTAACAAATGAAGGGAGAAAGTAAGCTTCCCATGATGAGCTGACTGCTTTGTTAAGCCATAGATGCCATTGCCCCACAAATTCAACTCTTTTTTTCTACATAATTTGTATTCTTTTCTTGATTTCCTGCACACTGTGGCCACTACTTTAGCTATGTGCTAGAAAAATGTTGAGTGTTTGTTTGTTTGGGGGAAGGGAGGAGGGATATGGCAATGCGCCATTTCCCCTTAACAGTGTCTACTGGTATTGGGTAGCAACATTATGATCAAAACTTCAGCGTGAGGGACTGGACTTATGCAGTATACTGAACTCGAACTGAATAATATACCAAGGAGGTTCCCACTTTTCTGCAGCTCAATGATTAAAAAGTGTAGGTAAATAATATGAATCTCTGCAACTGAGTAGAAGCAGAATTATCTGGAGTAGATTTAAAAATATAACTAGACACCCTCTTATGCACTAAACAGATAAGGTCTTAGCAGGTCAACGTCAGAGGTCAAAGTTAGATAAGGAGCAAGGGAATTCTCCATTGACAGAGCAGGTTAGTGGCTCTCTGTGCATTTTTATACAACTTCAATAGGTTAACATATAGATCATTTCGGATTGAAAGCCTCAGCGCAAATTCACAAATGGGGTGTGTAGGAGCCAAGAACATTCATGTATGAACACATAACATATTTGGTCCAGCAGAGGTATAGAAATTGCTTTGCGCCTTACCTTGACTTACTACAGTACATTAATGCTGACAAAATAACTTTTTTTAGGTACCTATGACTGGTCACTGTTTCTTTTCAAGTAAAAATTGGGATTGGGAGAGCAGAGAAATGAACAGTAAAGGGTTGAATAGCTGAAAAATGACTGAAAAAGTAGTGATAAGCTTCCATTTGGAATCAGGAACTCAACCAGGCTGTGCCTGTTAAAACAATTAAATCTGAAATTGCTTGCGTAGGGTTGCGGAAACAGAATTGATTAGGTAAGTTTTAGAAAGGGGAAGGGTGGTAAGTGCCTTACAATCTTGCTCATGATATAACCTGAAAAAACAATGTGCAGGCAACACCATGGTTAGGTGCATAATTAAAGTAAACTTATTCAATTCTGCTTAGTTCTTCCATCGGCGAAACATACCTCAATGGTCCTAACACCTTGAGAGGCCCGTTCAGTGTTTGCTATAAATGTTAGGCATTCACAAGTAATGCGTGAGCCATCAGGTATTTCAATTAAAGTCAAACAACACTAACGATTAGGCATCAGGTAGTTCTGTTTCCCAACAGTTTACTTTGACAGTGCACCTGCTGGGTGCAGGATAAACAAATAGAATTAACCTATTTCTCCCTCTCCCTTCTTGAAAGAAGCAAGAAATTCAAGATCATTAACTTCTAAACAATTTGAGGGACATTTGCTATGATATAACAAGTATTTCTACTCTTGCGCTTGAATTTTTTCAATGTTTACCAACTAAAACAGATTTGGACAGGTCAGCTACACGTTGAATGAGGCTAACTTCAAGTATTGAAATTAAACATAGATTGATCTGATACAAATGCAGACAAGTAAGAGTGTGACAATTATGAATGCAACAAGCAAGGAAAACCACCCCAAATTGTAGAATATTGAAATGTTGAAGATGTATGAATGGATCTATAACTCAATCCTGATTGAGAGCAGCTTATCAGCAGATCTGTATAGTTGACCCCTCCACTACGAAGAAATGCTAAAGGCGCAACAACGACTTCAGATAAGATTTTACAGCAGGAGATGATGAGATAGAGAAAACAGAATCAATAGCTAAATCAAGTCTGGAGACTAATACGGATGGAAGACATGGAGGTAAGTAATACTAGTGGGTCGATCAGCTTAGTGACAACTTTCGCCCTGGCCATGATTAGCTAGGCGGTGACTTCAGGAAATGCATGGGAAGGAGTGGGCAAGGCTATAAAGTAACGAGAATTTCTGGCTTTTGTTAACACCCTCAAATAGTTGTCAATGATCGGTAAGTTGAAATAAAAATAAACATACCCAAAATCATCATCCATTGACTTGAAGAAGAACTTGTAGTTCGGCCGGTTGAGCACATTTTTGAAATCGCATAGAGTTACACGTTCGGGAGCAATGGGTAATTTAACTAGATAAGGTGTCGCTTCGTCGTCTATGTGATATATAATTTTAGTTTCTTCCATTTTCTTGGGATTTTGAATAGAAAACAAGAAAACTGTGACACCGATCAGCCACTCTCCATTCCAACATGGCGAAACTAAACAGACACCGCTAGAGTCAAAACAGTGCTTGGTGACGGAAGGTGCATTACATTGATATGATAATGAAACTTTTCCATGGATTAATATTCATTTGAAATCTTAAATAATTGCATACTTTACATAATACTATGCATAATTTTGGGGGAAAAATTGGATGCGCGTAGGATTCCAAAAAAGACACCATTCAACAAAACTTGCAATCTAATATTTAGATCTATTTTTTGGAAGTGTTCTTGATCTTTGACTGCATACGCCTTGTTGCCAAATGGTTTTATAACAACGGAAACGCATATACCTACAAGGTTGCCATATTTGCAGCTTTTCAAATTCAAATCCTGCAAAATATACCTAATATTCTTCTCTCTGATCGTTTTTCAGGGTTTCTGGTATGGTATAACACGCAATTAATGCACATTTTTTATTGGATTTCCGTTTGTCAGAAAATAAGCAGATTCTGATAAATTTTGACGCTAAAAGTACATGTCTTAAAACATGCCCAAGTACATGGTCACTTCCCTGTAATGAAATGGGCTCTCGGTTTTTCATTTTGTTTGTTTCGTTTTTTTTTTTTTTTTTTTTTTTTTTTTTTTTTTTTTTTCCGGAGGAGTCAAGGTAAAGAAAAGAAGGAATTTATTTTTTTTTCCCCCTTAATTGGAAGATGGAGGGAAGTAACAACTTTTACAATCACCGTACCTAATGTGAGACAAAAACTTAGCAGGTGCAATTACCTAGAGATACAAAATTTTTAACTTTAAAAAATGGAAGCCCATGAATAATCTGAAGTTCCTACCTGTATTCCAAAAATACAAACTCAAAATTATTAGCTAAATTTTTTGACTTGAAATACTTTTAGGGCTTCATATTGGCAATATTAAGAGGTAAGTATGGAAAAAGAAAAATTTCAGCCTCATAGTCCAATTTTCTTCATTGAAGGTTGACTAATCGTTCCTAATTAATTTAATTTCATGAGATTTGTTTTGTTTTTTTTGCCTTCTGAAGCACACTTTTTACCTTTTATACCACTTATCAATTTAGTAAACCTATAAGAACCTCGTGATGTTCTTACCTCCAAAAAAATTACCTAAGTAAGAGCTAAGATTTTAAACACTGCAATCGAAAGGGTAAGAGGTAGGTAAACATATAAAGCAACAAAATAGGTACTGGAGCACTTATTTATTTTGGCAACAATCACAGAAACATATACCTAGATAGCCTTTATCAAGCCTGCTTGGAAAAATTGGAATCATTCTAAGACGCACTCTTAAAACCTGTTGAAGTTATTTCTTACTGACAGTGAAAGAATGCTCTTTTACTTACTCAAGAATCCTTTGTTACATATTTTAAAATGATCAAAAACCCCGGGAAGAAATGAGTAGTAGAACAGATTTAATATTTAATTTGTCAAATGCAAACAATTACAACATTCTAAACACTAAAACTTAGAATGGAATTATTGGCTTTAAAATCAAGAAGTAATAATAGGTTCTGATATCATCTGCAGAGCACCTACTTGACTGAAAAGGAATATTAAAGGAATCGCTTAAAACAGAAAAAATTAAACACCTGAGATCAATATTATTTCCAAGACTAACCACTAGTGCAAATTCATGAAAGTTGTACGACTTGAAAAAAATAAATTTAAAGTTTCATAAGTTTGCCGCAAAAAGAGAAAAATGGAATAAAAACAACGCACCTCAATATTAAAGAATATACAAAAAGGGTTTCCTTATTTGAAAATTTTAACCATTCTTTAAAGACTTTTTAGAAAGAGCTTTTCGACGATCACTGCTGTCAGATCGCCTAATGCTTCATACAGTAGGATCATATTAACGCAAAACACTGTTAAATTTCAGGCTAAACTTGTTGTACAGCCTATACTATATTGTCACTTTATACCTATATACATCAAACTATTAACTTATGGAGAAAATAAATTTAATGATTGACTTTCTTCTTCATTGGGTCAGTTACGCGGGTCTTAGAATCATGTTTTGATACTTGATTCTTGCAGATCAGCTAAAAATAAAAAGATCTGTCCAAACAACAACCTTCTACGTTGAAGACAAATTCGGTTTTTGACATCATCCACTGCAGTAGTGACATCATTGGTCTCTTCCACCTTGCTCTCATCAGTCAAGGAAACACTTATTGGCTCAGGTTACTTAGCGTGTCACACGGATGAAAGCAAGATGGAAGAAACCAAGCGTGTCACTACCGCAGTTGATGACGTCTTATACCGAAATTTTCAAAGCATGTACCTCCGTTAAACGTAGAAAGCTGCTGTTTGGACGGGTCTTAATATTTTTAGCTGATCGACAAGGATTAAGCATCAAAATGATTCTATGATCAGCGCAACTGACCTATTCTCCTCAATAGATGAGCTAATTTTTTGACAATTATACAATTCTGAATCAATAAATTGATGCAGTTCAGAAAGGATTGCTTGTCTCCGCTCGCTGTTGCAAGAGGGACTAAATCGGAATATCTAAAACTGAGAGGAAAAAGCACTTTGTCATGAAAGTGGTTTTTGCTTTTCTTCCAGGTTGTTGTGTCTTGTTGTATCGTTACAATAGTAGACTGAGGAACAGCTAAGATTGGCCTCAAACTAGTAATATTTTAACAATGCAAATTAAACTATACTTACATGCAACATATAATTTTGTTCAAGCATTAGAGACCACCCTTATTTAAATTTGAGTGGAGGCAAGCTATATGATGCATAATAAAATGAAAATAAATACATTTCAATGGAACAGAGGATTGATTTTGGAAACGGTAACTGAGAATTTTTTCTTTTGGTGATAGTGTCTACTTTTAGTACATACCTTTTTTGTGGTTAATTTTCAACCATAACAGTGCAAACGAGGGAGGGGAATGAACTGATTCATTAACATGCCAAGCATCAGCAGTTATAAAAATTTTGCTGAAGATTGTTTAGAAAGTATAAGTTGTGCATTCTATATGAGGACTTATAACAATAGCGGTTGCTGACATCCGTCATTTTTAGGGAAAACGCTTTTTTCGAAGACTGGAGCCCTCAAGAATGCCTGTGCAAAGTTTCAGACTTCCAGCGCAATTTTTCGGTGAGATATGAACTGAAAACCACGTTATTTTTAAAAACAGCGGATATGAGAATCTACTGTTCTCCCCAGCCGGCAAGGTAGGACACCGTGGAGATTCAAATGCACTTGCGATAAATGCCTACGCACTAGCCATGAGCTGCAGCTGACACTCAAATGATACGTGTCGGGACTGTCTCAGAAATTTTGATTTTTTAACTGATTTTATAATTTGTTCCTTATTTTTGTTGTAGAAGTTACAAACGGTTTAGTTTTTGGTTCAATTTTATTAAATGACTCAGCATTGACTTATTTTCGGTTCATTTCAATTGTTTCACCAGCCTTACCCTTCCTGAAAATCTTGTTTCATGCTTGAAAAAATGTTCTCAGTAAAAATAGCGGATGTTACATTTTTTCAAACCCCTGTTACTCCTTCAATTTTTTACTTACATTAATAGTAAAACGCATGTTTTTTACAGGGAAAGTTTCTCTTCATGAAAATCTTTGTGAGGATCCTCTCATTTCTATGGGCGGCAAAGTGCAAAGCTTCGAAAACTTCAAGTGCAATTTCTCACAATGTGAAAACTCGACATCCGCTATTGTTCCATATAAGTCCTCATATGCTTACAGCACATCATTTCTGTTTTTTTGTTTTTGTTAGAAATTTGAAAACTTCTATTGAAAATCAGTTAATTCAATATACTGATTAATTGAATACTAATGACCAACAAATCCTAACTTCTTTAGGAGGACAATCTGAAGAAGATAAGGAAGGATTGTTCCAAGAATTTATTTGGCAATGGCCTTATCTTGCTAAAATTCCTTGATTGCTTTGTTACGAGTGGTGTATGATCAATGGTGCCCAATGCGCAAATCAAGATGATTGTAACTAATAGATAAGTGAACATAAATTCTAGAGAGAGTCAAATATCATGATGTGTGGTACGTGCTTCATGATAAAATATGCTTCTATAAAAAGCTTTAAAAAATCATAGATCAAAATTCTAGTAAACGGCAGATCAAGCCCCAATTGAAACCCCTTGAGAGTTGACGCACCTCTAAACATTATTAAAAAAACACTATAAAATGGGATATTTCTATTTTGGTATGATTTATGCAAAGACCCAATACAAATTCATGATGCAGTGCAGTGATTAGAATTGACTGAAAATAAAGATACTGTCATCTGAGTGGAGCATTGACGTATAATACAATCTAGACCACGCATTCCGAAATTTCGGCAAAACGATAGGCAACGCGGATTGTCTCAGTACATATAGCAATCCAATATGTACTGAGACAATGAAAATGCCATTCTTGCCTGTGCCATTGCCTGGTGCGCTTCGTATATCCGGCTGTATCAACTAAGCTGAAGGCGCGTCTTTACCATCTTTACACTGATTTACCCCCTTAGCTGTCTTACCTCCCCCGCCTGAAGTCGGGTCTAGTGCGTGGTCTAGATTGTGTTATAAGTCAATGGAGTGGAGAGCCTATTTCAAAACACTAGGAAAATATGTATTGGTAACATGACACTAATTTTTCCTCCCTCTCATTTCATTTTTCTACTTATTTATCTTCAGGAATTCAATTTTCAAAAATTGATAAGAGAGAAAATTAGACAAGAAAACAAAATATTAGAACGAAAACAAAAAAAAACCCTCACGAGCTGAATGAAATAGGTAAACTCTCAGCAGAGAGCATCTCCAAAAAATGAATCAATATTTTAAATAGACCCTCATTGCAGCCGCACTGTCGAATTTTTCATACAATCATTTCATGATTTCCTCCTCTAAGAAACGGAGGAAAGCAATAATTTTTCTGCGGTTAATAAAAATCAAAACTTCTACCAACATCATTTTTGGTAACTTAATTCTTTCCATCTTGTATGAAATTATCTCGGCTGTAAGCGGTCTCTTATCGAAGGAGAGTCCTCAATGACAACAGTGCCGCACAGAACATCATACCCGAATCGGTTAAACTGAAAATATAAAAATCCTAAACTTGCTGGTATAAAAATGGCATGTACTAGGTTTTTCATTGATGATCGATAGAATGCACGTGCAACCGTTAGATTCTTGCCTGGGTATACGATCACTTCATCACCTTGAACTGGAGTTATTCTGTCACACGCAACCACTCGCAATCCAAGAAGACTTTTTCCAGGGGTCGCACCTCCAAGTCTTTGTCCAATTTCGCTTTGCAACCAGAAAGTCTGGAGGAAAAAAGATACTTATCAAATTACTGATTTTCATTGACATTGCTTTTAATTAAAAACTTACGACTAATAGGTACTGCATTGTTCCATGACATGCTTTAGTGTGCCGCAAAGAAACCTTCACTGGTCTACTTATTTTGCAAAGAAGTACTTGCATCTCATCAAAACCGTTAACTTGCAATAGGTTTCTACAAGATTTATATCAATGACAATTCCAAAATACTTTTCGTGTATAGGTAGAAGAAACAAATTTTCAGAATTTTATGGGAATAAAACCTTGTGGAAATGACGAGGGGACTTTTCCAGATTTTTCCTGACAAAAATGCCTAACATTTCCAGACTTTTCACACTGACAATTTGCAAGCGTAGAACTAAGAATGAAAATTTTTTGGCATGAATTTCAATGTAGGTTAGTCTTTTCTAGTCTTTTTCATCATCTCGGACTTTTCTCTGATTTCTGTGACTTGATGAAATTCCCTATATTCCAGACCTGTGGACACTCTGTACAATAACTAGCTGTACCAACCAAACCTTAGAAAAAGACAAAACTCCTCAATTTGTTTATTTATTTCTCCTACTTGTACATCCACGTTTCACTTGATTTTGCAGTGAATGAGAGGATAATTTTTTTGGTAGAAAACTCGAAAAAATACGAAGTTACTTGATTTAAAAAGAAAAGAACGAATAAGTAACTTAAACTTACTTCAAATAAGCAAACAACTATTCGATGAATTCCTTCCAGTAATACGATTTCATAAAGAACTTGCATCGCTGCCTGATTATCGTACTTTAAATCTTTCTGAATAATTTCAAGATCAAATTTGTTCAAGTCTCTGAAACAAAAAAGTGTAGTGAAAAGGGAGTTCATGGAACTGTCGGATAATGATTGAGTCTAGCTTATTAGTTTGAAGGTAGCAAATGACTCTTCAGCTTTGCAAGATTGAGAGTTCTGAATTATTTTCTTCTTTCATTCTCTTTTAGAAACTTTACAACATGAATTCTATTTCTATTGTCATGGACAATTTTTTTCCTTATATTCTTGCCAGAGAACGTAGTATTTTTGCGAATCTATGTTTTCTTTGCCCTCCTCTTACCTAACCCAACAAGTCTTCTACAGTCATAGGGCCCAAGCCATCGTGCAACTTCATCATTCCCACCATCAGGCTCTGTAAACTGTGCTCACAGTTCGCCTTCATTTTCTTCTTTTCACTTATGATCCTAGTAAGTAAACCTGCAGTCCCTTGATAGTGACCTTCGGCTGAAAAACTTTTTCTTCACTTCCTCAATGTCTTCATTATTGACTTGCTAAGGATGTGGAGTTGAAATTTGATGTTATTCTTTTAAAAATATACTGAATTGAGTTGATTTGAAGGTGAAGATCAGAGAAATTTTAACAATATACAAGGTGGAATTCTCAAAGGCACAGGTCTGTGTGAGTGGGAGAACCTTACAAAAAATAATGAATTAAACAAAGGTAATAATATTCTTCCACTGGCAAAAGGTGCCTAAGACAACGGCCGCTTGAACAAAAATTTTTTCCAACTAAAATGCGCTTTAAAAATATATAAAGATGTGATAGACTTAACATGGAACAGGAAATGCAATTACATACACAGATACTATACACAAAGTAAAAGTAAAATCAGGGGGTGTCTACTGATACCCTGTCATTGAGAATCCTTGCTCTTTAAGTACCTTTCCGTGCTTTTTATTTGCTTTTCCGGAAATTCCTTTTTTTGGCGATTCTCAAAAATCCATGCCTTTTCCTAACTTTTTCCTTACCTCAAACGTATTTTTAACTGTATTTGGATTAGGAAATGGACCACTAGACAAGGTACAAATTTAAGCATTCTGATATCTATTTCTTGACCAAAATTTCACGTAGAACACGATTTGCGCAACAAAAATTACTGAAACCAACTCCTAACGAAGATATTGATGTTTTTATTTGGCATTGGTGAGGGGAAATTTGAACTGCCCGCTCACAAGAAACTTAAAGCTCTACGATAGTCAAATCGCGCACTCTAACAGTTTCAGCAGGCTTCTCAATTGAGCACTATTCATTTCCCACCCTGTGTTGTTCAAACTATAATCAACTTGCTGTAGCTGAGCCAAAGCGTCAAGATTGAGGTTGTCAAATTTCCTTGCGTAGAGACTAGCATGGTAACGTTTAAGGCACGATTTGACTCACATAGAGTTTTCATGAGCGGGAGGTTTTAATTCACGCATCAAGAAAATTGAATATCTTCATTAGGAGGTGATCAGTGAATTTCAGTGCGCGCTTTGTGTTTTACGTGAAATTTTGGTGAAAAAATATACATTCGAACGCTTAAATTCATACCTTGTCTAGTGGTCTATTGGAATGATGGAATGACAAAGGAACAAACCAAAAAACACGAAGAATCGTACCAAGACCTTGATAAATGTATTGTGTTAGGAAATTGCATTCCCCCAGGGCTACTTTTCATAGTTAATCACAAAAATCTCGATTCTCCATACCATTTCGCAGAAAATCAGTATCTTTGCCGTACTTCCGTAGCAACCTTCAAAAATCCGTGCTTTTTCAATATATCCGTACTTTTTCTGTACAGTAGACACCCTATAAAATGAACCGGCACATACCAGAGTCTAAAAAGAATTACGTAAGTAAATTTTAAGACTCAATCTTGAAAATCTCACCACAATCTTTCTTCTTTTAGATCCCACCTACAACGCAAGAGTCCGCTTGGGGCTCTGCCGTAAAATAACTTCGCAATGAAAGAAATTTGTGAATTGCGAACACAATTTATTGGTATTCAACGGAGCGGAAATAATCCAGTCAACGATTGCAAAAACGTCTAAATTGCTAGTCCCAGCAGTGAGACTGGAAAGTCATGCCAGCAAATTTCAATTTAGGAATAGAATAGCAAAGGAAGAGAAGGTAAAAAGTACGGTACTTACATCAAATCAAAAGAATCTACAACGACAAAGGTGATTACAACTTTCACAAAGAAGAGGACAAAAAAGTCCAGTAACTCGGCTGCAAGGCGTTTCCACAAAGGAGGAATATGGCATTGTAAACCTGGAAGTAAAACCAATCAAACAGTTAAACGATGGTGCAAAAGACGTATACTCAGATGAAGCTAGAGCGTATAAATTAGGGTTTCCACAATTTCTTCATTTTCCTCTTCCCTGATGTTTCCTCAGCTTCTAGGAAAAGCTTTTGCTTTTCCTAGACTCTGAAAGAATCCCGCACAGAACAAGGGGCTCAGTGGCTTTCAGTGGATTTGGATAAAACTTTAATAGATTGACATAAAGTTAATCATTAGCACAACGCCGAAATAATAGCTCATTCTAACGAGTGGAAGCTGAGATATTCGCGATTAAACACTGGCCATTCTCTGTGCAGCGGAGAAAATTAGGCACTCCTTGTCGCCTTTTCTTGCGTTTGAACACTTCAGACTTCAGCTGGTAAACCCCCTCTCTCCTTCAGGTAGCTGCTTGAGCAATGCGATGAAGAGTCCTCTTATAACTTGCACCTCTCATCTGAAATGGCTGAACAGTTGCTGAAACAGAATCAGCAGATGTAGGAAGAAGGAGGGCATATATCATTGCACCAGCCGAACATGTAGGCACCTAATTGTGTAAGAAGTTTGATAGAAAACGCCAAACAACCACAGAAGAGGGTATTCGTAAATCCTCCGTCATGGTGTGATATGATAGAGAATGGTCCGGGTTCAATCATGAATATCTCAGCTTTTACTCGTTAGAATGAGCTGATTTTTTGGCTTTGTGCTAATAATGACCTTTAGGTCAATCAATTAAAGTTTCATCCAAATCTACCAAGAGCCACTGAGCCTCCTGCTTTTAGGGTTTTTTTTTTTTTTTTAATTTCCTGAATTTTCCTGACTTTTTGACAAAACTTCCATTCAGAACTTTTTCCTTTTAATTAACCTAGCTTCTGCTAAATACTGCTTGCAAAATTCCTTGCCTTTCCCCATAATTTCCGACACATCCAGGTCGCTACATATATCCTGGCTTCCCAAACTACCGTAAATTCCAGACTTAGGACTCGATTGCTAATGGTTACTTTGGTAACATTCCTGGGTAAGGTGAATATTTTACTCTATGAACGAGTAGAATTCTATTGTCTGACAGCAAATTAATTATAAAAGTATAGTTTTATACATCCCTGCTACAAACTGTTGAAGCAAAGTAATAATTGCGACATACCTTGTTGTGCACTAGGAGTATTAAGATAGCCTGACGCGGCTGTTTGAAACTGTCTTGTGATGTTAAGGTTGTTCGTTGGCCAGGGCAGGAATCCTCCATTCGAAACACTGTTGAACTGATTATACAATAGAAAGTAAGGTTGCGTGGCTCTCAGACTTTGATAAACATAGAAACTGTTCAACCATTTTTCTAAATTAACAAAGTATTCTGCCCGTGTAGAGTTGTGCGATTCTTTCTGCCCTTTGGCGTCATTACTGGGATCCTTTGGATGATGCAAATTACTTGATGCTTCATCAGCCCCCATCACCGTCAACAATAAGTGCAATGAGCTCAGTCTGATAAGAATAACTGGTTTTACTGCATGAGTGCGTAATTATAAAAAGGAAATCATCCTTTTACTGATAAAGATGAAACATTGGGTAAAACGATTCAAACGACTTTCGATGATGACTGTTTCAAGTGTTCAAAAGAGACATTGACACACAAATTTTAATGTATTGAGAGATAACGAAAAACCAACACAGAAAGTAGAGCTTTAATTAGAACGGCCGGACTGCTTCAATGATATATCCCGGAATGAAGACACTTGGATGAGAGGTTCCATCAGCAAAAATTTGCCTCTGGAAGAAGACCTGTTAGAACTTGCAGATGAAAAGCTACCGAGGGTTCAACAGTTGATTACATTATGCACAACAATTAGAATGAGTACTCGACTGGTATTTTCATGAGAAATTATTGGCAAAAACTAATGAAAAACCTGTAAAATACGAAGTAGAAGTTCTTTGCTCCTGGCTCAAATGTCATCGAGATTAATTGAGGTTTGAGGTTATGTTTTTGTAAATAGACGTCAGTGAAGGTTAGGTTAGGTTTTAAAAAGCTTCCTCTTCGTGCTCTGTTTTGTGATAAGTCTACGCTCTTCGTGAGAATGTGAGACATGCTTTACCTTTATCGTGTCATATTAGTCTGGAAATAATAGCAGTGTTTATGAAATGGAAGCTTTTGCCTGGAAGAACTTCTTTAAAGGTGTTGTGATTATTTAATTTGCTTCAAAAATCTGCCCACCCCTCACTCTTTCGGATTGCTTGAGATTCAACGCAGACCAATAGACCAGCAGTTGATTATTCGTTACCTCACTGTGCTTTATTATCAGTGTCTCAGTTCATTGAATGAAAGTTTACTTTCAATCATATAAGGATCTAATTTAGAATGCTCATAATCTAACACTCCATTGAGAGCTGACAGAGTGCATATCTTCTCTGCGGTGCAATCGCATAAAATACCAAAATGTTTTCAGGCAGTGCAGACAAGAAAGAAGAACCGTTTCATCGCTCCAAACTTGCTGGAGGACCTCACGGACTAGGTTTGTTTGCGTACCAAAAGATTTGCTTGTCATAACATCCTTTCTACTGTTGTAATTTTTGAGAAAACTATTGATCAATCCACAAGCTGTTCAGGATGCGCAACTGAGAACCAAATATTTTTCTGTGGCACTTCATGAAAAAACACCAAACTCTCACCATCTCTTGTCTCTCCTCACAATTTTTTGGCAAGCGGCAAGAAAGTGTACTAATAAATAAGAATGACATAGTTTCAGGGAAATCTCCATTCAAAAAAGTTTGCTAAGTACCAACTTTGAGACTCAGAAACAGTGTTCCTGGGTACGAGATCCGTACGTTCTACCGCTCTCCATGCTGCTATTGGCAGAGCGTCATTCTGTGACGTCACACATATGGATATTTTAAGATAAGGAAGCGTTTTCCCACAAGGCTTTTGTCCATATGCGGTCCGATTTGGTATAGGGAATGTCCGTGCGGCACGGATAAATCCGTACGCTTGGGATCACTGCTCAGAAATTTTTCTGAAAGATAATTCTCCTCTAAATGTACCCTTCTCAAGCGGTTGTGTTAAATTTGTTTTTCCCTTGGCAGGTATATTATTGAGGAAGGTACTTGTAGCTGTAGATTCTGCAGGTTCGGATACTACAATCACTGTATTAATTTTTATGATAAGGAATGGATAATAATTCTCAATGATGCCTTCTATTGCTTATCCACCTAGATTTGTTAGAGATCATTGCTTGTAGGTAAGCCAAAATTTTTGCTGATGAAAATTACTGCATAGGAAATGTTTGCTGAGCATGATGCTACATATTGAATCAGGTAATTTACCATGCAGAAATTTATTGCTAAGTGTACTTATTATGTCAATTGCTCAGTAAGCGTTGATGTCACCAAACTGATCGGTCGAAGTTTTGCTAATCTGTCAATTAGTTTTGACTTTTCATAAGAAAAGCTGGTGGGGAGGGGAGTAGAGTCAGTATGATTTTTACTTTCTCGCTCCCCTAGGGCAGAGAGGAAGTATTGTCATCCTCCAAGAAAAAAAAAAGAAAAAGTTGAAATTTTTTTTCTTCATTATCGAGTACTCAAATTGCAGAAATTTCATTTTCTTTTTTTGCCTGCAGGTGATCCAGATGATCGAACTCTCAGAAAAGTTGAATCAGAGGTACTTGTTAAAGAGCGGATGCGAGTAAAAGCCAGGAAGGAATTGTGTGAGCCTTTCAACTTAGGTAAATCTTTAATTTTTTTTGGGCTTTGTCATAGTTAGTAAAATGTTCAACTTTAAAATTTTCCCTTTCTCTTTCTACAAACAGGGTCACATTGAGGGGAAAAAAAAGGCTGTCAATTTTAAGGGAAAATGCATACTCAATGCAGGAAACAATTTTTAGAGCTGCTAATTTAAATGTGCTACCAGGGTCGAATTTAAGGAGATGCCCACATGGAAACGTGGCAGCAGATTTCATAAGTAATGAATTTTCTTCTACTTTTTTATTGCTTTTGCTCTTTAAGTCCTCAAAAGTCACCATTTTTGTAATGTAGGTGCAGAAAAATTGTATATCCTGCCCTGTGTGCTATATTGCATTTTTACAAGGTCAGTGCCTGTGAGTAAGCAAAAGTTTTTATCAACATATTGAACAGTTTATCTGGATAAAATTTCCTTTAATTTTCCCATTTATTTAAAAATCAAATTCTGCTCTATTACTTAGCGTCTTGCATCAACATAAATTATTTTTAAAACTGAACAAAATTTTGACTCTAACTTTTTTCTGAACTTTTTTGTATTTTCGGTTTCTCTTTTTTCAGCTTTTGCAAATTGTGCCAAAGAGCATGGTCTTTTCATGCCTTTCAGTTGCCAAGAACAAGGTCAAAATTTGAAGAACTGCATTAGAAAATATTTTGAAGACCCAGAATTCGAAAAGAAGATGCAGGAAGAGTATTTGGAGGAAAGAGCGGAGTATAGACGAACTGGTATTTCTAAGAAAAAGAGAGAAAGAATGGAAGCATTAAGCCAACTAAATGCGCAGGCCAATCAGCAACAGTCAAAATAATCTCTTTCTGATGATGAATAGTTCACAATCTCAAAAAATATTGTGTCTAAGATTTACGTGAGAAGGTTATGTTAAAGATTTTGTTGGTTTTTTTTTGTAATTATTTTGTTGTTAGTAAATAGCTTTTCTTATTAAATTAATATTTTTAAAGTAATACATTCATTATTGCTCTATGTGTGTATATAAAACACTCCAAATGCTTCATCATTAAAAATTTGCTAGGAGGTAAATTGACAATATTTTTTTTTTTTTTTTTTTTTTTTTTTTTCCATCTGAAAGGTTTTTAATTGGATTCTATAATAAAACAGTATCCACAAAGAACAAAAGATTTCTAATTAATAAAGTAAAATCTTCTCGCACCTTTTCAATAATCATCATATCTACACAGGACATCAATGCCTTTCTTAATGAAACATATGGTCATAGAAGGGTGATGGTCATCCACACCAATTTTCTCTATTCTAGGACCTCAAAAGCATTTTGTCAAAATTAAGAGAAATGTCTGTTATGGCGATTTTTCAACAAAGCTGATATAATCATGGAAGTGGAGTAAAGATCCATTTTGGGGTTTGGGGTTACCTATCTTAATCCCAAAGTGAATCTTTATTTCACCAACATTTTGAATCAGCTTAGTGAAAAGTATTATTAAAACAAAGAAACTCAAAGAGGGAACATTATATACATCCGCTGTTTTTGCACAACCTGATTCAATTGAGGTTTAAACTACTTAATCAACTTCCAATAAGTCCCAACCACTTAAGAATTAAATAAGATGTAGGTCAAAATTATTTGCTGGAGTTGTTAATTGATTTCGAACGTACCGAAATTGATTGCCGAGTCATTGCAGTTTCGTCTACTAAAAGACGTTCACTAGAGATGGGGCATTATTGCACTGTGTATGTATACCTACTAAACCTCCAAGCACCTACCAAGCCATCCAACCTTATAAGAGGGTAAAGTTGTCGGAATATTCTTGCCATATGGTCCTTAAAATACTATGACTATGACTTTACTATGATTGTCAGATCACTTTCTGATAAAAGAAAAACAGATCAGCAAAAACACCATACCTAGAAAAAGGGCTTGGAGAACAAGGCGCATTTGTGCAGCTTTAGAAAACATTTAGATTTTTATGATTTCATCTAGTCGTAGAATATATTCTGTGAAAAGTGCTTCACTAAAATCTTTTTAAGTATCAAAATGTGAGCTTCAACTCTTTTCCTGCCATGAGGCTCCTTTTAATTTTTAAACTCCAAGTGCGTATTTCTGAAAATAGAAAAAACCGCCATTATGCGCCTTTTCCTCCAAGCCCCTCAAGATGATCTAAAGCAAGAGTAGTTCATGTTTAGAGCCTCATAGGTAGGTAATCATGAGTGACCAACTTGTCAGATAATGTTGGTAGGACACTCTCGGCGCGGGTTGTGTACCGCCGACAATGAAGGGGCAACATACGTTTCTGATATCTCCCCCCTCGTTTCATAAGTTTGTTTATCCTCATTATTTTTTAAATTCTTCTTCGTTTAATACAAAACATCAATAAAATCCCGAGTACGTACATTTTGATTAAAATCATCAGACAGCGAGAGCCCATTTCAGAATACTTTTCCCCTTTTGCTGTATGAATTCGCCGATGCGTGGGATATAGGGAACTACAGTAGGTAGAGGAAAATTAATCTGAAACGGGCTCTACCACAATTTAATTTAAAAGAAGTAAAACCTGAAGCTGCGCCTCTTTTTTTTATTTTTTTATTGGTATGTTAAAAACAATCTACAAAATATGTATTCTTTTTAAAAATAGACGGAAACAATTTTTGGTAGGACAAAAAGCCGAAAGCAGGACGGTTGGTCATCCTACATCATTAGTTGAAAACGAGTTTTTTTCATACCCTCTGCTGCAGATGACTTTTGATTCTAACTGACTTTTTGATGCTTAAAAATTGGAATTTGGGAGCGAATTTTTCACGGAATATGCATCAAGACTATAGGTGCACTTGAAATTATTACTATTTCGATTTTTTCAAAAACTGCACTTCTGCACCTTGTCCTCGGCCAAGTCCCCCAAGGGAGGTTACCTATAGAATTTCAATTGGACGTATTTCTGTCAGACGGAACTAAGCGCCAATTTGAGTTCCTTTTGAGGAATTTAGAATGCCGGATAGCGCGTTCTGTCAAACGGAACTAAGCGCCATGGAAAAGCATGAGAGCATAGGGCGGAATGATCCCGCCGCCAATCCAAGCCCCCCTCTACCTTCCTTCCCCTATGACGCTTAGTTCCGTTTCACAGAAATACGTCCAAATAATACAGTTTCGTATGATTTTTCTTCGCATTTTAAAAATACTCTTTAAAAATTTTCCTTCCAATACTTTCGGCAACCGAAGAGAGAAATTTTGATGGATTTGCGTCTAATTACGACGGTATGAATGAATACATTTAAATTCACCATAGTAAGCCTGTAGAGCCTGCGGTATCTCTTGAGTTGAAGGCGTCCGCCCGCTCGTTATCTCGGGCAATCGCATTCGTGATTCGAGTAGTGTTGGGGATTTTTTCAAAATAATCGATTAATCGAATCGATTCGATTTTTTAAAAAAATCGATAAATTCGATTAAAATCAACCAAGAAAAATTCTATCAATTTATAAAAAAAAACTATTAAAAATCGGAAAAAATAAGCGCGCCGAGAGAAATTTCTTCGTGGAAACTCGGTTTAAATCGGTCTTTCTTCGTTCAAATTGATTTTGCTAGTAAAAATCGATTTACACGATTATTCGACTCAGAAAAATCGATTCGATTTTTCCGATTATTTTATAGAAAAAATCGATTAAAAATCCCCAACACTAGATTCGAGGCTGAGCCTTCATTTGAGTAGTAACGGTTTCTGATGGCTTGGCAGAAACAGAGCTCCTTTCTATTTTATAATTTTCCTGGCTCTGTTTTTTGTAGGTACTTAAATTAAAAAAGATAAAGATAAAATAAAAATGAAAAAAAAAAATAAAAAATAGATAAATGAAATAGATAAATGATAAAACGCTGTTTGAGAAAATGTTGCTTTTCATTTCTCCTTATTTTTTCGGTTGTCAGCAGTGTGAGTTGCCATGCTGTGTCACCTTTTGAAAGATATCAGCTGAGCGAAGACGGTGAGAGAAAAGATTGGCGCACGACGCGAATTGCTCCGATTTTTTTGACGGGCGGAATTAGTGCTAATTTATTAATAGGTCTTTAAAATTCTGTCTTTGAAACGAGGTGCTACCTCTCATTTTTAGTTTTTATTTAAAGTAGGATTAAAATCAGAATGTCTTCAATAGATTTTCGCAAGGATATGTTACACCCGACAACGCTTGCTCCTCCGTCTCGCCAAAGAAGTGTCTACACCACAACCTATCACAATCAAATTGATGATCTATCATACCAGGTAAAATCTGTTGCAAAATGCATCATCAAGAAATTTATAGTACATTTCATGATCCAAGTAATGGAAACTTTGACGTATATACCTGACATTTTGAGTTACCAAGATTTTTGAACGTTTGAATGATTGTAACCCAAAAAATAGACATTTTTTTATCAATTCTAGTACCATCTCGATAGGATAATTTTGACATCATGTAATGTACGAAATTTTTACCAAGTTACGCCTCATGTAACACTCCCCGATTGCAGTCATTCCTCTCCTGTAGGCACTTTTACCGTGTGAGGCATCTCAGAATTTCATCATTTAGTGTTCTATATTCGGTAACATCAAGAAGCAAAACATCAGCCGGGAGGAAAAAAGATAAATTATGGGAAAAAAGCAACATACATTAGAATGTTCAACGTGAATGGTCATTTTCAGGATGTATAGAGTTTTGTCCGATTCCAAAGTGCCTTCAAACATTGACGATACCACCATGCATTACTCAAGAGTTAAAATAGTTGCTTGTTTCACCCGGACCTAAGCAAGCGGGATATAGGTACATATGAAAGTGAGGAATGTTATTACACGGCCTTTTTTTTGTCATGAATGAGATCAGTGCTTCGCAAGACGGCAGACAAAAAAATTTCAAAGCTACAAGGAAATTGGGTGCTCGAACTCTGGAATAAAAATCATTACGATATCAACGTCTCGAAGTACAAACGATTTCGAAGAAAATAAGTGTATTGATGAATTCACCGGAGCATGCCGATTTAAAGTGGAATAGGAATACGTCTACACCGTGAAATATCTTTACTATAAATTTAGCCTTTTTTACTCCCTATTTTTCCTTAGAATTGAAAACATCGGTAATTTTTTGACCGGAAGTGCCTAATTCACTACGAATGGCTGATCGATCCTTTAAAACCTGATTGATTGAAGTATCCAAGAAGTTGAATCACGGATCTCATTGCAAGACCTTTCCAAAAGTCTATATTTGCGACGATTACAGTTTGAATGGCTGCAAGGGGGGGGGGGCGAGCGATTATATTTTAATGTAGGCCTGATAGAGAAGCAGCCAACTCCGTCAGTCGGTTCATCTTTTATCGCGCGTAATCTTGCAGCATCCGTCACTTTCATGCCGACCAAAATCTCGGCAGCTTTCTGTTATTTGAATTTTGACCGAATAATTCTTGACTTTCAGAGGTACAGCGAGTGTCCAAAATATTACGAGCCTCTGCCTCCAGAGCAATGGCCAACAAACTTGGTTACGAACTCGCCCTCTTCAGCTGCCGGATTCATGAGCAGTCCCAGTTCCGCCAGCTTGTGGCGTCAGCCGCGATCATCGAAGCCGATGCTGTTGTCCTACTATGATGAAATCCCGTACCTGGTGCGTTCAAGGACATTGCTCTCCTATTATCTTTACTATAAGCACTCTGACCAGAATTTCCATTTTTTGTCACAGTTCATTCTAGCGTTTTACTGCGCCGAAATCAATCATTTTTGCGGGTACCGAAAGGTACGTGGGGTATGATCCTTATGCTGCCGTGCTAGGGAAGAACGCCATATGAATATTCGAGAGTTGCCAAATTTCCTTCGATAAAATGTTTATTTTTGAGGAAAGTGATGAATATTCTTCATTAAAATTTTCAGGAGCTTTAGGTAAAATTGCGAGCAAAATTATCTGAAAAATTGGAAGAAAATTATTCATAAGTTTACCAGGATATTCTTGTTTTATCAATCGAAATTTGGCAACGCCTGAAGGTTCATACGGCTTTTTTCCATAGCACGGCAGTAATGAGCCTGCTCAAGTCAGATTTCAGAAACGGGCACGACTCAAATTTCGGTACATCGATGGCTATAAAGTGCGAAACCCCGTATCTCCGTCTGCGATGTTGCAGACTTCCCATCATACTTTACTTTTCCTTCAGAAAGCTAGTCAACGTAATTTCATGAAAAGCGTCTTGATTTTTCCTCCAAATCAGCAGAATATTCTGTATTAATTCCGAGCATTTGAGCAGGCCCGCCACATCCCATCTCGGGCCCTGGTACCAGTTTTAAGGTCCGGGCCCCAAGCACGGAGGGGGGGGGTCCAAGGCATCCCCCGAGAAATTTTAGAATTTAAACGACTAATCGAACGCATTTTGAAGCTTCCATGAAGAACTTTTCCATCAATTTCTGCGGAATAATTATGTTTTTTTCCTACTTCCAGCACAAAATACTTGCTGAATGTTGCATTCAAAACATCTGGAAAATTTTTATTTTTTTTGGGGGGGGGGGGCATATGATACTATTTTCAGTTCTAAGAGGGCCAGGCCCCCCTGGACTCCCCCATCGTTTGTCTATGGCAAGGGAGTTGAGCCATGAGCCATTGAAGTCGAGGATGCCCAGACTGGAGACTCTTAGCATCTAACGACGGAAGAAAATGAAACGCAGTTACTAAAAATATCCCTCAGTACTGGAAATCTTGAAAATAGATAGAAATTTTCCAAGAAGCATACTTCTTTGAAAATTTAAGAAGAACTCTAGAGTGCCCCAGCGCGTTTCTGAAAATCAATTCACCTTTTGCGAGATTTTTAGGGTAAATTTTTCACTTTTTCTTACGAAACAAGGGTTGCATGTGAATTCTTAATGGTTTTTGAAGGGTAACACGGGTCCCCTCCAGGGCCCGGGCCCCGGTACCAGGGACCCAGTATCCCCGCCTTGTGCCGGGCCTGCCTTCATGCACGCTGGGCTGGTCGATTTCCTTTGACATTTTTGCAGTGGTGAATGCATAGCTGAAGTGCGATGCAGCTAGAATGGACCACTAGACAAGGTACGAATTTAAGCGATCTGATACATGTTTCTTGACCAGAATTTCACGTGAAAAACGATTCACACAACGAAAATTACGGAAACCAACTCTTAACGAAGATATTAACGTTTTTATTTCACATTGGTTACGAGGAATTTGAGCTGCCCGCTCACAAGAAACTCAAAACTCTACGTGAGTCAAATCGCCCACTACAACGGTTTCAGCAAGTTTCTCAATCGAGCAATGTTCATTTCCCATCATGTGTTGTTCAAACTATTAGCAATTTGCTATAACTGAGCCAAAGCGTCAAGATTAAGGTTGCCAGATTTTTATATCGCAGAGACTGCCATGATAACGTTTAGCGCGCGATGTGAATCGCGTAGAGCATTGTGTTTTCATGAGCGGGTGGTTTGAATTCACGCATTAAGAATCATTAAATATCTTCGTAAGGAGTTAATTTCGGTAATTTTCGTTGTGTGCATCGTGTTTTACGTAAAATATTGGTTAGGAAACATGTATCAGAATGCTGAAATTCGTACCTTATCTGGTGGTCCATTCTATTTAGCAAATGGGTGGTTTTTCTACGAGGATTCAAAATAGACGAGGGGTAAGGAATATAACAAAAGAATAAGAACTATGCAAAACGATAATCCGGATATCGGAACTTGGCGGTTTTGAAAACGCCTTCAAATGCGGCGTGATACCTCACGCATTCCGGAGAGTTCAAATAGTTGTATCATTCCGCCTTACAAATGCGACGGAAGATTGCAATTGAAATAGGCTTCATACACGCTGGCCTGTTCGATTTCCGTTAACATTTTTGCAGTCATGAATGCGCTTATGTGCGCTTCAGCTAGAATTGTATATAGCAAATGAGTAATTTTAAGGCCTGGCTTTGAGGTTGGCTTGTTTTTCTTCCGAAAAGTAAAATAGGATGAGCGGAACTTTTTGAACACCACAACCAGTGTTCGAAACTCACTGGCGCCAACGCGCCAAATGCGCCTAAAAAATCGGGCATGGCGCCTAAAAAATGAAGGCTCTGCGTCATCGTGGCCCCTAAAAATTGCCCTCCCCCCCCCAAAAAAAAAAAATCATGGTTTTTCTGTTTGGCGATTTTTCGAAATTTCCCCCAAGTAACAGCTATACTAGTTTTGTGACTAAAACCTCTTGCGTCTAACCTGTCGCAAAATGCGCCGTGATACATAGACAAAAAGTCAATTTAGCCCCTAAAAAATCTTTAATGGCCCCTAAAAATCTACCTTGATGCGCCACATGGCTCCTGAAACTCCAATACGAGTTTCGAACGCTGACAACAACGGAAAAGTACGTGGTTTTGTACTTTGGCCATCGATATTTGCGTCATCTGTACATAGGAGTCTATCTTTGGATTCAAAAGTTGAAATTGCCGATATATTCGTTTTAATAGGAATACCTTTATATAATTACCCTGAGTATTTTTATCAATTGAACCGCATTTTGAAATTAGGAACCATAATTTCTGGCTCAGTTTAGAAACGACGTATAGTTCCATCAGTATACCCTTTGAACATAAGTGTTTTTACGGATGAGCCAGAAATTATAGTTCCTAATTGCAAAATTCGGTCCAATTGGACAAGAAGGTAAGGGGTGGGAATATTTCCTGGACAGAAAAAGAAAATTTAGTGGTCATTGCTATTAAATATAATTGTACCATTGAAAAATTCAGTTACCTGCCAATCACCATCCATTCTGCCGTGCTAAGGAAAAACGCCGTATGAATCTTCAGGCGTTGACAAATTTCTTTTGGTAAATCACAAACTTTAGGGAAAATGTGTAAATATTTTTCCTCCAATTTCTCAGATAATTTTGCTCGCAATTTCAACTTAAGTTCCTGAAAATTTCGAGGAGAAGTATTCATAACTTGCCTCAAAAATAAACATTTTATCGGAGGAAATTTGGCAACTCTTGAAAGTACTTACGACGTTTTTACCTAGCAGGGCAGCATTAGAGTCATACATTGGAGTGCGTATTTTTTCCCCTCCCCCGGCCGCAGGTAGGTGCCATGTAATGCTCCTTTAAAGAGCAAAGTGCCCAAACTGAACATGTCTCGTAAACTCTGTTATTTTGTTTCAATCTGCAGTGTACAACCTACTGTGAGAAAAAAGGATAAAACCTAATTCCCGTCCCAAGTAATTCGTGGTACTTCTATTTCAGGATAATTGGCGGGATCGTGATTTGGAGAGTTTTGAACCGGGCTCTGGGTCCGGGGTGGCGACAAATTATGGAACCATGTCGTTACGACTTCATAACCGAATTCGCATTGATATGACCATCGATAGAGCTGTCAGGGTCATAAACTGTAAGGTAAGAAAAATCAAGGGTTTAAAGCATGTTAATTTGTTTTCATTTTAAAGTCGGCCAAATCGTAACAACTATTCTAACTAACTAGCCCCATTGGCAGCATAGAGCGGAGCATTGCGAGTTCACGCTTGGCACCATCGCTCCTTCAATTTTGCAGAGATGCAACCCGGACATCCAATAAGCACGAATAGTTGTATCACCGTGCCGTCATCCACGCAGGTCCTTTCCCTTGCTCTATCTCCAAATTGTGTTGGTTCCGTCTGACTTAATTGTGGTGGTGCTTCAAGGGCAACATGAGCAACGCAATATGGAGATAGAAAGAATATAATCAGGCCTCGTTTATTAACTTTCCTCCCGAAACTGTTAGACACCTCATTGGCAGCATAGATACAAAATTTTTTCATGGAAAAAATTATAAGCATAGAAAAATTTTAATTTTGATGTAAAAAGCGAGAATTGGTGTAGAGTTATGATCAGTTTTATTTTTTACAGAACAATATTGTCCTGGCATTAAATGGAGTTGGATCAGCTGCGGCACTTCTCCATCCCAACGGACGAGTATATCAGTACGGAAGTCGAGTTGAAATATTAGCTCATGATGCACGAGGCAACAACAAGTAAGTGAAGATCAGCATCTCTCTTGTTTCTTTCGCAAGGGAAAAATGAATATAGTGCTGAGCACTAACTGTTTAGATCGAATGGAGCCAGCTAGTATGGCTGTAGCACTGAGCCCTACAACTTTAGAGTCCAGCCCTACGCACTATAGGTCTCAGCAGTACTGCCATATCAGCTGACTCCATTGGATTTAAACATTTAGTGCTCAGCTCTACATATATCGTTTGTTCTTACCGATGCATGCCAACAGGCGGATTCCGGTGTCGCAAACCTAAACCCCCGCTGATTTCCAGTAACTCTTTTTTACTGTTTCTAATTTTCAACTAAATTAGCTCTCAAACTATATCATAGTCCTATATTATTATTGTTCTCTAAATCCTTAATTACTCACTTTCATTGTAAGTGTAATTTTGTAATTTTGTAACTATTCTCAAGCGACAATAAAAAAAAAAAAAAAAAAAAAAAAAAAAAAATCGTTTGTTCTGTGATGGAGTTCATAAGTCCCGACCGAGCCATGGCCGAATTTATACATAAGCCGTCGAGGCTCCGACCCAGGGCGGCAAATGGGGGGGGGGGTGTAGGTAGAGTCCCTTTATACTGAGAGTCAAGACAATTTGAATCCATTTCTGATTGGTTCCCGTATTTTAGGCCCCCACAGTGTCACAAACGGGAATAAAGATTACATTTTCACCAATTGCAAAGATTATAATCTGGAATGGACCAGGGAATTACGGGTTCGGCAAGGAACAAACGGAATGAGAGGAGGAACGGAAAAAGGCATTTGAGAATGGGCCGATCAAAGATTACGAAAAACATTCAATTTCTGTAATCTTTATTCCCGTTTGTGACATCCATGAGCCGAATTGTCTTGACTCTCAGTATAAAGGGACTCTAGGTGTAGGAAGAGAAAAGCAAAGATGCGGCGCTATCACTTACACCGTGCCGCCAGAAGGCGGCGCGGCATAATGGCGATTCAATACAGGAGACTCAGGTGCAAGAAGATCACTAACTGCTGTGGCAGGTAATTTGGCATTTTCTGAGCTCTCGTACACTTTTTTTACACCCAGAATGTTGAATCAACTTCAGTTTTTTTTCGGTGAAGGATCGACAAAAAAATGTCGTATATGTAAATATACAGCTTTTAAACCAAAAATCCTCAAAATCAGCCCATTTTTTGAAAAAAATGTGGGCTTACGATCCACGTAGAAATGTGCGGGTCCAAAATTTCCAAAATGTTATACTGAGGTCCAGTAGCACCAGGGATTTTAAGTGGAGCAAAGGTTTTAGAAATCTTAAAAAAAAAAATGTAAAAAAAACCACCTATGTACCGGTTACACTAACTTCATCAATATCACTCTTATGACACTTATTACGAGAGGTTCTTTATAGATTTATTTCACTTCAAGGGGTGCGCCTCCAGACCGTTTAGCACCTGAGGCGTTATACTTTACGCGTTACTCCTTTGATTTCATATTGTTTATTATTTTATGTATGACAGGTTGGCGAAAATGTGGTACAAAGGCGTATCTTTCACGTCCGAGCTATGTTACGTGGTATACCTGGTTGACACAGCGGGGACAAGAACAACGACTGACACGTTCATGGATTTGACGCAGGACTTCTCCCTTCCGGTATTCTACTCGGATTCCCGCTACGGGCCGGCATTCATCAACGAAGCCGTGGGTATGCTCCAGGACGCGGACTACTGGGTCGCAGAAGACGGCACCGAGAACTGGAACATCAACAACGTCCGCATTTCGCAGACCCCAGACGGACTTGTAAGGTGAGCATCCTCAAAAGTTCCCATCGTTAGGTTATTGTCACGCCATAGAGAAAAAAAGGAGGTGTTTGCATCTCGAGGATTGTTTACCCCGTGACGTAGGTCGGTGTAACCTGACCAGCAAAATCCGTAACTCGAAGTCTGAAAAACGGACTATAATGTCCAAAATTTTTGCTTTAATCAACTCATGATATAATTTCTAATACTCTATATAGTTCCTAATACTAATACTTATTTTGCAAAAAGGAACCAAGAGCATTGCAATGTTGCTAAGATTTTTACAATCCTCATCCAGCTTTTCTACTCCTGCGATAAAGTCTCTGAGTCAGCGAAAAAGAGACCGAACTCTCCTTCATTGTTGTGGATATGCAAGAAAGTATCGCTGGGTCATAGTTGTGACCGGATCTGTGAAAAGGGCTGCGGTGCAATGAGCCCCAGATCTTGGCGCCACGCTCGGATTTCGGCTAAAATCCGGGCCCAGCGCCACAGAGTGTGGCGCCACACTCCAGCAAAATCCTCAAATTTCCCTTATGTTTAAAACCGCTTAAGTGCTGGTGCAACCTGCCACAAAGTTCAGCTTACAGTTGACTTATTTCCGCTCATCTTTGACTCTCGTAAAAAACTGCCCAACCAACATTGATAAACTTTCGAGCGTGGCGCCACACACCAGCGCAAGAAATAATCTGGGCCCAGCGCCACAACTCACGATTGCCTATCGGCTCATTGCACCGTAGCCGGTGAAAAGGGACCTCATTTTCCGGAAAAACATTTCAAAAACTTTGAACTTTGTGCAAAAACGAGCGCGGGAAGCGCCTGCAAAACTGTAAGAATACTTCAAGCATCGCACCATCTTCCCGATCTCTGGTCTCGCTGTTCGCTCTTGACACTCTTGCGAATCGCACCAAGGTCCGAGACGCGTGCGCTGTTTAGAACTGCGTAGGGCAGCGCGCGTGCACAACGTCGGAAGGTATGAGAGAAAATCATGGAGTACAGTGGAGTTGTTGGGCCTTGTCTCCACGGGACGTTTTCATGGGATTTGTCCCAAGTTCGAATCGCAGGAATGAAACTTCTGGGATTTTTCCCAGTTACCGTCTCCACGGGACGGGGCTCACACAGCCCTGCGACTAGTTTGCGCGGGAAGATAAAGTAGTTAAAGTCGAGTATTTAACCGGGATTATAATAATAAATGCACTCAATTGACAATTAGACACATTATTTTAACTAAACAAACATTAACAATGTAGTAATGAATAAAATATCGCACAATTCGTTTTCACTTCTTCTTCTTCTTCTCTCAGTGGGTCCTAAGGGTACAAGTACCATACTTGGTACTGGGAAAAATATTGATTAACTCAATATTTTTCCCAACTTCGTAAGTGGGATTTTTCCCTGGGACAAATCTCGTGAAACGGCTCGTGGAGACAAGGCCTAATGCACTGGAACGCCGATGAAATCACTTTTCGAGGCTGTTTTGTCCGGTACTCCTGAAACTATTGTGCGGCGACTAGCGATGCCGAATGCGCGGAGTCCCAGCTCCGAGCATCCGGGCTTCGCTCAGAAAATACAGGCCCACAATTTATTTCATAAAATCAGGAGATTTTGCACATTTTTGGATTTATAATGACTTTTTGGTCAACGTAATATGCCGAAATTCGCGAAAATAACTATTGAATTACGAGGGTCATCCAAAAAGTAAGTTTCCCTACCTTGTATATCTTCTATACAAAAAGAGAAAAATTACATCGGTAAAAAGACACATATTATGCATACTCTAAGCTTTAAAACAAGTCCAAGTTTTTGAAAATCGGCCAAGGCGTTGACGTCACGAGAAAAGTTAATTTTACTGAGACAACCTCCTGTCGCCGCGTGCCCACCTCCCGGGTCAGGATGCGCGGAGAGTCGATTATTTCAGACTCGGGTACTCGCCTATAAACATCACATCAAAAAGATATTTAGAAGATTTCATTCAGTAGGTCTTACCTTTCTTTTTGACGTAGGCCTCACATCTTTTTTGACATGTTTGGTATCGTTACAGCAGCTTTTTGATGCCTTCCGCGTAGAAGCTCTCGCCTTAGCTCCGAAACCAGTCAATTACAGCGGTCTGCAGGCCCGCCACATCCCATCTCGGGCCCTGCGGGGCGATTATTGGAATGTCATCGACTCTATGTCGCCGCTTACGACAAGACATAGCCCTATCTTAACCGTGCAATATATCGCAATTCGATGTCTTATCGGGCTGGTTTAAATTTCAAACATCGGCCCGCTGGTACCAGTTTTAAGGTCCGGGCCCCAAGCACGGAGGGGGGGGGGTCCAAGGCATCCCCCGAGAAATTTTAGAATTTAAACGACTAATCGAACGCATTTTGAAGCTTCCATGAAGAACTTTTCCATCAATTTCTGCGGAATAATTATGTTTTTTTCCTACTTCCAGCACAAAATACTTGCTGAATGTTGCATTCAAAACATCTGGAAAATTTTAATTTTTTGGGGGGGGGGCATATGATACTATTTTCAGTTCTAAGAGGGCCAGGCCCCCCTGGACTCCCCCATCGTTTGTCTATGGCAAGGGAGTTGAGCCATGAGCCATTGAAGTCGAGGATGCCCAGACTGGAGACTCTTAGCATCTGACGACGGAAGAAAATGAAACGCAGTTACTAAAAATATCCCTCTGTAGGTACTGAAAATCTTGAAAATAGATAGAAATTTTACAAGAAGTATACTTCTTTGAAAATTTAAGAAGAATTCTACAGTGCCCCAGCGTGATTCTGAAAATCTATTCACCTTTTGCGAAATTTTTAGGGTAAATTTTTCACTTTTTCTTACGAAACAAGGGTTGCATGTGAATTCGTAATGGTTTTTCACGGGTAACACGGGCCCCCTCCGGGGACCGGGCCCCGGTACCAGGGACCCAGTATCCCCCATTCCCCCCCTTGTGGTGGGCCTGCCTTCCTGCACGCTTGGCTTGTCAATTTCCTTTGACACTTTTGCAGTGGTGAATGCATAGCTGAAGTGCGCTCCAGCTAGAATTGTGTTTACAAATGGGTGGTTTTTCTACGAGGATTAAAAATAAACAAGTGGCTCGGAATATAACAAAAGAATATGAACTATGCAAAACGATAATCCGGGGATAGGGACTTGGCTGATTTGAAAACGCCTTCAAATGAAGCGTGATACCTCACGCATTCCGGAGAGTTCAAATAGTTGTATCATTCCGCCTTACAAATGCGACGGAAGATTGCAATTGAAATAGCCTTCATGCACGCTGGCCTTTTCGATTTCCGTTAACATTTTTGCAGTCATGAATGCGCTTAAGTGCGCTTCAGCAAGAATTGTATTTAGCAAATGGGTGGTTTTTATAGGAGGATTATAATTAAACAAGTGCTTAGAAATGGAAACAAAATAAAATGAACTATGGAAAACGATTATTCCGATAACGGAACATGGCTGTTTTGAAAACGCCTTCAAACGCGGCGTAATACCTCACGCATTCCGGAGAGTTCAAATAGTTGTATCATTGCGCCGTAAGAATGTGACGGAAGATTTAAATGGAGAAAGCCTCCATGCACGCTGAGCTTGTCGATTTCTTCTGAAATTTTTGCAGTGGTGAATGCATAGCTGAAGTGCGCTCCAGCTAGAATTGTATTTAGCAAATGAGTGGTTTTTCTACGAGGATTAAAAATAAACGAGTGGTACGGAATGTAACAAAAGAATATGAACTATGCAAAACGATAATCCGGGTATCGGAACTTGGCTGTTTTGAAAACGCCTTCAAATGCGGCGTGATACCTCACGCATTCCGGAGAGTTCAAATAGTTTTATCATTGCGCCGTATGAATATGACGAAAGATTTAAATGGAAATAGCCTTCATGCAGGCTCGCCACATTCCATCTCGGGCCCTGGTACCAGTTTTAAGGTCCGTGCCCCAAGCAGGGAGGGGGGGGGGTGTCCGAGGGGCATCCCCCGAGAAATTGTAGAATTTATACGACTACTTGGACGCATTTTGAAGCTTCCATAAAGAATATTTCCATCATTTTCTGCGGAATAATTATGTTTTTTTTTCTACTTCCAGCACAAAATACTTGCGAATTGTTGCATTCAAAACATCTGGAAAATTTTTATTTTTTTGGGGGGGGGGGGCATATGATACTATTTTCACTTCTATGAGGGCCAGGCCCCCCTCGACTCCCCCTTCGTTTGTCTATGGCAAGGGAGTTGAGCCATGAGCCATTGAAGTCGAGGATGCCCAGACTGGAGACTCTTAGCATCTGACGACGGAAGAAAATGAAACGCAGTTACTAAAAATATCCCTCTGTAGGTACTGAAAATCTTGAAAATAGATAGAAATTTTACAAGAAGTATACTTCTTTGAAAATTTAAGAAGAATTCTACAGTGCCCCAGCGTGATTCTGAAAATCTATTCACCTTTTGCGAAATTTTTAGGGTAAATTTTTCACTTTTTCTTACGAAACAAGGGTTGCATGTGAATTCGTAATGGTTTTTCACGGGTAACACGGGCCCCCTCCGGGGACCGGGCCCCGGTACCAGGGACCCAGTATCTCCCCCCTTGTGGGGGGCATGGCGGTCTGTACCTCTGAATCGGTTGGCAATCGCTTTTCATCGTGGAAGTTTTTCCGCTCGGGAACAGATGGAAGTCACATAAGACTAAATTAAAAGAGTATGAAGGATCGGGGGAAAATTTCCCGACGCAAAGCAACTGATTTGGAAGTGCAGATCGCTGTCAATGACTGGTTTCGGAGCCAAGGCGAGAGCTTTTACGCGGACGGCATCAAGAAGCAGCTGTAAAGATACCAGAAATTTCAAAAAAAGTTGTGAGGCCTACGTCAAAAAGAAAGGTAAGACCTACTGAATGACAACTTCTAAATTTCTTTTTGATGCGATGTTTATAGGCGAATGAATACCCGAGTCTGAAATAATCGACTCTCCGCGCATCCTGACCCGGGAGGTGGGCACGCGGCGACAGGAGGTTGTCTCAGTAAAATTAACTTTTCTCGTGAACGCCTTGGCCGATTTTCAAGAACTTGGACTTGTTTTAAAGCTTAGAGTATGCATAATATGTGTCTTTTTACCGATTTAATTTGTCTCTTTTTGTGTAGAAGATACAAGGTAGGGAAACTTACTTTTTGGATGACCCTCGTAAATCAATGAATCCCAAAAACCACTCGCGGCCCGCGATTCTTCCATAAGCTTCTTTCCATGTTAAAAAATGCCGTACGGTTCGCACTTTCCGTCGAACAAGGGGCTAGAAATGCATCGTTCCAGGATTGACTTCTTCTGCGCTCCAGTACATTGCGACTTTGTTGTACTCTATGGCGAAAATGGAGCGCATTTTCATCAAAACGTAATAAATTGGATATCACCCATTACTTTAAGTCGTAGCCTACGCAATTTTTCCACCGCTTCCGCAATTCGCGAACGACCGATTGGACGTATTTCTATCAAACGGAACTATGTACATTAAGACATGAGCCCTGATACCCATAAGAATATGTGCATAACAGGGATCACGTCATAATGCACATAGTTCCGTTTATAGAAATACGTCTGATTGGTCGTTGGTTCGTGAGCATTCTGCACTCCTATGAAGATCGCCTCAAGCTTGAGTGAGATCATCGAGTTTGTTTGTGATGTGGAGGGGTATGTGCTGACGAATAGCTCTGCTCTCTATTTGCAGAATCGCCCGGGAAAGCAGTAAGTTCCTCCTACGAACATCGCCGACAAACGGAACTGCAACTTTAACGACTCCATACTTGCACTGCACAGCCTCAATGGGTCAGACGTCGCACTTGTTCGTCCGACGCGGCGAGCGACGCATGCACTATGACGGCAACAGCTTCATCGTCCGCAACGCAGGCCATGCTGCCGGTTTCGACGAGAAAGATCAGCTTAAAGTCTACTAAGTCTTAAGTCTTAAGTCTTAAGTCTTAAGTCTTAAGTCTTAAGTCGAGCCAAACCGCCAACCGCAGGTCTTGCTCATCTCGTTTCCCAAGTCACGCGAAGACTATAATAACCCCTGATATGAATGAATTATTTCAAGAGGGCAAGAAGAAAACACTGAGAAGCTTAAAAATGGGTCAGACGACTAGTCACAGAATCACTATTTGATGGTTAAAGCTCACAGATTAGTTAAAACCAATGGGACCTGTTTAAACACCACGTTTCTGCGCCTAGTATTGACGGAGATATCGCTTATCGAAAAACAGTGCATGACGTCATCCTGTGGAAAATCTTGAAAGTTGGCAACACTGCTTATCCTCCGTTTAAATGTATGTAAAACAATCGACTCTTGGTGAAGCAGCTTGCCTCACCAGAAATCGATATTTTTAATGGATTTAAATGGAGCAGAAACAGTGTTGCCAACTTTCGAAATTGCCATTGACGTTCTACTCCGTGTTTTTCGATTAGAGATATCTCCTTTAATATTGCACGTAAAAACTCGGCGTTCGAATAGATCTTATTATATTTAGTTAATCTATAAGTTTAAACCATTTAAGCATGGCTCTGTAATTAGCGCATGCAACGGACCCATAGTCGGTTTTGAGGATTGATATGCGTTAAGCTAAAAAAGAACTAAAAAGATAAATATTGCCTCGGGTCCGAAACAATTTTTTTTACTTAATTTTAAAAGTTCCGATAAAGTTTTACATGAACACACATATTTTTGTTTGTTTTTGTTTTAAGTTTAAGTATTACTTTATCAAGCGAGTTTTTCCCTTGATTCACTCAACGAGTTTTAATTATGATATAAAAAATGGCACGTGAGTTCGATGTAAAATTAATATTTTATCATTAAATAAAAGAAAATGTCTTAGGAAGATAGTTTCAATCCCTATCTTGCTTGAATTGTTCTGTTTATTACATTTTAAATCATATCAATCCTTGAAACTCACTTTCTTACGCAATGCTGAAGGTTTCCCAAGACTAAACGGTCAATTGATTGTGTTTGCAGAATCTCAAAGCATGCGACTAAGTATGTATATGAATCGTTTTTGGTGGGTTTAGTGTGTGTTGTTCAAATTACTTTCTCCTATGAAGTAATTAACTTATTGTAAATACTATAGAATTACAGATGAGTGAATGATGTAGATTCAACCCACATCATCACGTCGAGTCATAGCGTATTCTTCACAAATCGACCTCGATTTTTTCTTTACTCTACTTTGCTTAATGAATATTGTCGCATGCGACTTTAGTAGTAGCAAGAAAAAATATAGTATGGATGCTCATTCAAATATCACGCGCCTCGCTCAGAAAAATGTCAATCGAAAATTTCATTTTTCTTCCATTATATGTTGTTTTGTTTTAAATTGTCCTTCAATTTTGTTATGATCTGAAATAAACACCCAATTAATACATCAAATCTAATTTTTCAATTCCAATCTGTACCTAACAATTTTCTTATCATTGCTGGTATAGTACAGCTACTTATTAGTTGCATCGTTTCTGCGTCTAAAATTCTGAATCATTGTCTCTGATGAACGATTGCCAATGGTTATTGCTGTCGGCTGCCGCCAATCGGGCTACCAAAAGATGTACATATATCTATCATGAAGCACATTCATAGTAAACCACACAAGAAATGTACAGGTATAACCCGTTGTATAGGCTTTGATTGAACCATTAACATGTCTGCAACTTTCAAGAGCAAATAAATGGATTTAGGTGTCTGTTGAAAACCTCACATTTATATCGCTCCGTAAGCTTTGATTAAAGGACAACATTGTAAACTTATTAGGTTAGGTGATTTGATGGACGCCATATTTGGTTTTAGGACGACATACATGAATCGCATCGATTAGTAGAGTTCCATGTTTCCAGCTAATTCTTGTCGAATTTTGAGATCGCATTTCTGTTGTCACGAGATTAAAGAATTCACTTACTAAACACATAAAAAATTCAACACATTAATGACAAGGTTTTTTTAGAGGAAAAATATCGCAGTTAAGAGCAGTTCCGATATCAGTATTGAATGCGATATTTTTCCTCTAGAAAACTCTACCTTCATTACGTTGACTTTATGTGTCAAATGAGAGGCTTGGAGGACAAGAAAAGGGTGACCGAATCTCGGCGCACACCGGGCTCGAAAGTCGTCGACCAGAACATGGCCTCAGCTCACTTCATTGTATCACGACTCAATCTATGAGTAAAGCATTCGTACTTGAACTACCTTTGCTGAAAACTTGAAGAACAAATTTGCACCCTTTCGCAGGGCCGGATTAAGGGGGTGGTCACATGGGCCGCAGCCCATGGCGGCAAATTTTGCAATTTTTTTAAACGTTGATATAAAAAAATCGGATCCAGGAAAGAAAATTATCAATGAGAAAAGGGGACAAAATCTCTCTTTTCTGAGAGAGATACAAGAGACAGCATCTTTAATTAGTCGAGTCAAGAGAGGAACTAAGCACGCAATTTGGCCTGGAGCTCAACGCAGAGAGGAATGATGACGGGGACTTGAGATGAAAAGGATAAGCCCGCGGCGCGGCGGTCGGCATGTAACACATATTAGTGCCTACAAGACTGCATGAATACTTCACCCATTCCGCCAAACACAGTGCGGTCAGGAGCGGTTGGCGTGAAACGCATAGCGCCTACAAGACTGCAGGAATACTGCAAGCATTGCGCCAAACACAGTGTGATCTGCGCGGCGCGGCGCAACGGCAGAAGTTGAAATTATTAAACCACATTTATGTTTGTTCTTTCATAATTTTTTGGTTCTCTTCTTATAAATGGAGGACCTTGTTCACATAGAGATAGGTTTACGGAACTTTACTTTTGCGCCAAGTTCCTTGAAATATTGCTTGTAGTGTTGACAGGGCTTTTGCAAAAAATGTATCCAACACGAGTAGGTAAACGCGTCTTATGCACCCCTCCCCTCCGGCACGATCACTTGATGGTTTTTATTGATGTTTCAAATCGAATGAGAAGGGAGCGGCAAAATACAGGCGGCCCATAGGCGGCAAGTAGGTAATCCGGCCCTGCCCTTTCGTGATCAAAGTATACACGGATGCACATCGAATATGAAACTAGAAAGTACGTATGTTGATTGCGGTGTTTCAACTTTTAGCTCTCACTCAGGGGTTTTCGATGTTAAATGATAAATGATATTTTGTTAGGACATTCTAGAGGATACAAGTAGATAAAGATAAAATGTGCAATATTTTCTGAGTTAATACCTTGCGGTTGTTTTCTTAGGATTGAAATACATTGTGGCCGAAAATTGGCAACGACGCAAAACTGCGATGCATGTTTTCTAGTTTCACCATCGATTTAGGTTTCAAACGAACTCACCTGTGCCCATCTCACTTCAGCCCAATAATCTCACGCAGCGTCTCCGCCCTCACACAACAACACTAAAGTCCACACATTGAAAGACTATGTCGAGACAATAATTTCTCTAACATATCGGTAAAATCTCGCGTCAAAGATCTTACTTCGGCGATTTATTCTGGATATCAACAAATTCATCAGTTAAAACATGTGTTGGCATAGTGATGTTGCAAAATATAGCTAATTTTTTATTTTCTGTATGAGAGAAGTCGATTTTTGTTTTGTTTTTTGAAAAACGAAGATCTTTATCATTGCATGGGTTTATTAGTGACCTAATTTGGTGATCCGTAAATACATTAAAGAGGGATGAAGAAAATTCTTTGAAATCTCAATCGTCACAAAACAGCGCGAAGAGATAAAACATTCAGGGAAGTTGATTGCTGCTGCCAGGACTTCTCCATATCTTCTGAGAAAGTTGACTTCTTAAAAAGAAGAGAAAATATTTTGGTGATTATTTTTCTCTTTTATTACATTTGTACAATATTTACAAAATCTTAGAAAATAAGGAGTATTTACAGTAATTTGGATCCTAACTAGGCAATGCACCTTTCCCGGAATTTGACGAACATCCAATGTTATCAGTTTTTTGGGTGCGTCATTGTGCGTCGTTTTTGAACGGAGCAAAGAGCGTAAGCCCCCCCCCCCAAAAAAAAAAAAAAAAATCTTACGCAATTTTTGAAGTTTGCATCATTAAGGAACATAGCTTCTTAACTCTTATTTACTCACTCTTAACGCACCGTTTTTCCCTCCCCGTGTGCGTCAAATAGTATTGAATTTTCCCTTCTTTGGCATTTTTTCAATATCATTTTACTATCTGTATGTATCCCAGCAACCGTATCGATTGTGAAACTAAGAAAACAGATCTAGATTGCTCCGTTTGAAATTTTCCACTCACATTTTACCACCTTTACGATGGAAAATCATCAATCAGTACTACAAGAACTTATTTGATAGATATTCTGATGTAAAAAATGAGATTCATACAAATTTTCAAGGGGGCGGGGGGTATGGTCCTTTTTCACGGACACGGAAAATGTATGTGAAAGGACATTTCGACGGCTGAAGTGCGATAACACGTATCTCCGTTTGCGACGTGGAAGACTTCCAGTCATATTTTGTTTTTTCTTTAGGAAACTTGTCAACGTAATTTCTTAAAAACTGCTTTGATTTATCATCCCTACTAGCAGAATATTCTGTATACATTAAATTTCAAGCAATGAAGTTAGCTTGTATCTCTTCGGAAAAATAAACAAAAGGCGGAACTTTTGAAACACCGCAATGGAGATAGGTGGTTCCGCGCTTCGGTCATTGATTTTCAATGCCGAAATTTGCGTCATTTCTTCCCAACACCGTTTTCCGCGTTTAAAGTGTATGAAATACAAAACCTTCCAATTATTCTTTTAAAGATGCTTTGAAGATTTCAATTTTAAGTGTCCAATTTTTTACTTATGCTCTGCGACTGTTCCTATAAATTGTTGGCTAATTTCTTGACTAACTGAGAATTTTTCATTTTTCCCATGAATATCTACGTAAAAAATGAAAAAAATACTTCGATTCTCTTCTTCCATTGTAATTGTTCCATCATGATGATAATTTTTCATGTTCAAATTGTCGTTTGGAATCCAATGAGTAATTCAAAATCTATTTTTTGTGTTGAAAAAAGTAAGGGAGGTGGAAGGATAGGGCAGCGCCAAAAAAACACTTTTAAGCAGACTTCTCTGTGAACTTCTCAGAATATTTTTGAGAGGACAAAATAAACTTTCGGCTCGTGTTTTTCTAGTGGTACCTAAAAAACTTACTTTTCTTTTCTTTTTTTTTTTTTTTGTGGAAAAACTCAGCTCATAAAAATGCAGATCGAGATCAGTGCAATTTGTTTTTCTTCCTGATACAAGTAAACAGACGGCAAGCAAGTACGGAGGCTCATAAATTTAACACACCGACCAATTGTCACGAAAAAAAAAAAAAAAAAAATGACGGGAACGATATCAATTAGATACTTTTTCATGTTCGATAGCTGAAGTTTTAAATTTTTGCGTGTGAAAAATGACGTTTTGCGACGCGTGCGGGGTACACGCAAGGTCATTTTACTTTCGATTAAAATTTAATATTTTCATTCGGGAAAATTCAATGAGATTTCATTTACTTTTTAAGACTGGAAAAAATACTAATAAAAAATTAAATTGAACGAGTTGTGGGTTCACTTGTGAGCTCTTACGAGCGTATTAGCTAGCATTCTTAGTTTCAGAACCGATGCTGGTGCATGTGCATTTGTTCCTTCCCTATCATATTTTTTTTTTTAATATTGAAGAATTGCAAATGGGCATCAAATTTAACGTTTAGCGTTTTCATTTCATAATATTTAAAAAGTGCGATTTTAGACCCCTCGCAGTGTAACAGTCAATGACATTTACAATGAAAACACCTACGCAAGCAGAAAAGGTCTACACAGATTCATTAAAAGAGGGACTCAGATCTTTCTGTAGGTAAAATGCACCACGGAGATTTTCAGCGTATATTTCTGACGAAATAAAATCCCACATTAGATTGAAAATTGGGAAAATACGATTTTTCTCTATATGATTCACAGTAATGCTCCGCGGGCGAGAAAAATTAACTTCATATATTGCTCAGTCAGAAAAAAAAGATCGGCCTCATGATATTAATATTTTCTTCTTCTTTGCAGTTTCGTCAGATTCGTCAGTTTCTTCAGTCTCCTCGGTTTCATCAGTCTCCTCAGATTCTTCCGTTTCTTCTGTTTCCTCGGACTCTTCGGTCTCCTCGGATTCCTCTGTCTCTTCGGACTCCTCCGTTTCTTCAGATTCTTCCGTTTCCTCAGATTCCTCAGTCTCCTCGGACTCCTCTGTCTCTTCCGACTCTTCAGTTTCCTCGGACTCATCCGTTTCTTCAGATTCCTCCGTCTCCTCAGATTCTTCAGTTTCCTCAGACTCTTCAGTTTCCTCGGACTCTTCGGTTTCTTCAGATTCCTCTGTTTCTTCGGATTCCTCTGTTTCTTCAGATTCCTCTGTTTCCTCGGACTCCTCGGTTTCCTCTGACTCTTCTGTCTCCTCAGACTCCTCAGTTTCCTCAGATTCTTCCGTTTCTTCTGTTTCCTCGGACTCTTCGGTCTCCTCGGATTCCTCTGTCTCTTCGGACTCCTCCGTTTCTTCAGACTCTTCTGTTTCCTCAGATTCCTCAGTCTCCTCGGACTCCTCTGTCTCTTCCGACTCTTCAGTTTCCTCAGATTCTTCCGTCTCTTCAGATTCTTCTGACTCCTCCGTTTCCTCAGATTCTTCCGTCTCCTCGGATTCCTCTGTTTCCTCGGACTCTTCCGTCTCCTCAGATTCTTCTGTTTCCTCGGACTCCTCGGTCTCCTCAGATTCTTCTGTCTCCTCGGACTCTTCGGTTTCTTCAGATTCCTCTGTTTCCTCTGACTCTTCGGTCTCCTCGGATTCCTCTGTTTCCTCGGATTCTTCTGTCTCCTCAGACTCCTCTGTCTCTTCGGTCTCCTCAGACTCCTCAGTCTCTTCAGTTTCCTCGGATTCCTCTGTTTCCTCGGATTCTTCTGTCTCCTCAGACTCCTCTGTCTCTTCGGTCTCCTCAGACTCCTCAGTCTCTTCAGTTTCCTCAGATTCCTCTGTCTCCTCGGACTCCTCAGTTTCTTCAGTCTCCTCAGACTCCTCTGTCTCCTCGGATTCTTCTGTTTCCTCGGATTCTTCCGTCTCTTCAGATTCTTCCGTCTCCTCGGATTCTTCTGTTTCCTCGGATTCTTCTGTTTCCTCGGACTCTTCCGTCTCTTCGGACTCTTCAGTCTCTTCAGACTCCTCGGTTTCCTCGGACTCCTCAGTTTCTTCAGTCTCCTCAGATTCCTCTGTTTCCTCGGATTCTTCTGTTTCCTCCGATTCTTCAGTCTCCTCAGTCTCTTCAGTTTCCTCAGATTCTTCAGTCTCCTCAGATTCTTCAGTCTCCTCAGATTCTTCAGTCTCTTCAGTCTCCTCAGATTCTTCAGTCTCTTCAGTCTCCTCAGATTCTTCAGTCTCTTCAGTCTCCTCAGATTCTTCAGTCTCTTCTGTCTCTTCAGATTCCTCGGTCTCCTCGGATTCTTCGGTCTCTTCGGATTCCTCGGTCTCCTCTGACTCTTCCGTCTCCTGGGTTTCCTCTGTTTCCTCCGATTCAGTTGTTGTAGGTGTGATTATACTTTCCAGCCAGTTCTTAAAAGTATATATTTTCGTTAATACGCCTTTTTCTTCATCTCCACAAACTACTCCATGAATTTCATTCCATGAAACGAGAGGTCCACCAACATCTACCTGAAAACGAGAATGACACTCTTTAAAGAAAGCTACGTTTTCGAAAATTAGCTGCCTGGAAGTATCCACTATTTATAGTTGACTGGAACGCAGTTTTCCAAAATCAACTGCAAGCAGAAAGTCACTTTATGTTTCATGAATCTATTCCTCGCGATTTCAATCCCTCAGGCGCCGTTATCGATGTGAATAATTTAAGTATATGTTAGTTTTCTCTTTTTGGAGCTGCGTTTTCTATTCCTCTATATACTATCAAGTGTATCTCCATTTATTATTTGGTTACACTGTAATGTATACGTAGCATCATGCTAGTCCTTGGCCTCAAGTAGCACAGTGCAACGAAAATATTGAAATTAAATTGCAATTTAATTTCAATACAATTGTGATTTTTTTACTATTAAATTGCAATATTTTTGATCATTTAGTCGATTTATGCAGATTCTAAACAATCAACAAAATGAGCTACATGTCTCAGAAAGATAGGCAATATGCAGTGAATTGAAAAATTGCAACTTATTTCAATTTTATTGCAACAAGTTTCAACAAACGGGGCCCCTTCAAATAGGAGCTAGGCAACATAGGTACACAACACTCAGTGGAATTGCAATATTGATACAATGTAATTGCTACTTATTGCAATCTGTGCTACTTGGGGCAGTGGATCGTTCACATAATGTATCTGTCCATTTAGCATTTTTAGCTGTGAGAAGTAGACAAAAGCACTACACATCGCTTATGACCTTTGATCCATCTGATGAATCCATCTTTATATTTCGATAAAAATTATAATATCAAACTAACCATGGAATGCTGAGTTTGCCTCCGTGAAAATCAGTCTATGATTAGGAAAAAAAAAACGAAAGTTGGTCAAATTTTTGGAAGCTGGTTGGATGTATTAATTTCATTCATTCTCTTATAACTCGTCGAAATTATATTTTATCTCCGTAAATTTGGGCGTTCAGTGCATTTAATAGTAAGCAGTAGGTATTCGAAACATACTTGTAGTAAATTGCAACGTACCTCAGATGTGACGTAGTGTCCGTAACCATCTTGAGCACAAATGAAAGATGGAGAGGATTCCTTATCGTGTGTTCCACAGTGAGATATAGTCAGTAACTCTCCTTTAAGATCCTCTGTATCCTGTGCAAATGTAAGTAAAAAATGACGATGAGGCGAGAAGAATTAGCGGACTTACTTATACAGCAGCCTATCTACAAAAGCAACTATGTATAGGTACACTGTTTTTGTGCAAATGGGTTTACTTTTGCAAAATTCCATAGAAAAAAGTTTGGCACAACTCATGCAAGAAAAGATATATACACATATATAAAAAAGTTTCGATTACAAATTCGGAAATGCAGATAATACTTAGAGGAAGTTTTTCAATTGTGTGTCTTTCAAAAGAATAATGCAGCAAAAATGTCGAGTATACACATAAATTAAAAACTTATCAGAGCCACGCTGCGTTTAAAACAATAAGTCAATATTCAAACGATTTTTTTTAAAAAGGCTTGTTGGAAATATAGTCTTGGTTTTCAATGAGTCGTGTTTAAAATTCTTAGCATCGTAATTTTACTTTTCAAAAGTCAGCACAAATAAACATATTTCAAATTTTCTCAGTCACATTTTCAGGGTGTAGGAGATCATAGATAGATACGTATTCTTTTTTCTTACCGGCCAACTACTGATATTTGCCTTGCGTCCAATTGAAATTTGATTCCTCGGCAATTGCACCGTGTCAATCACCCTGGACATTTTAACTTGGGGCCACACCTGTAAGCATTGATAGAAGATTACCTAATAGTATAACAATTACAAAACTTTATTCTCAGTCTTAACCCTTTATTTTAAAGAGTCTGTCACGGGCGTCAACTGAGGCCGGTCTTTAGGGTCTCCNGGGGGGGGGGGGGAGGAGTTGAGAGGCGTTAATAATTTTTCAAGGAGAGGGGAGGTAGGACAATGATTGTTTGCTCTGTGGATCATTGTGTAGTTCATTACTCTCGGGCCAATGTTACTTTAAACATTTTCTCTTTTTTTATTAAGAGCTTGCGCGCTTTACTTCAAGTCAACTTTTGGCCTCAGTTGCTTATTAACAAACGGCCACTGCACTTTTAAAAGGAATCAATCGGGTTAGGGTTAGTACACGTCCATGCTCCAGACTTTCAAATTTTCAGGGAATAAGGCCGAGTAGAGTCTCTCTCTGCAGATTCTTTCGTCAGTCCGTTGAGAAGTCGCCACCACTGCAGGCCTGGGGTTCGACCCCGGGACGTATTGGCCGAGAGTCAGACGCGCCGACCGCTAGGCGAACTTGGTCGGCTTCGAAATTTAAATCTTTTTGAAATATCAATGGCGCAGAGATCTCAATGCATGTCCCCGTCCGTATCACGAGAGATGACTAAAGGTCTAAGGAATTTCCGAGAGAATATTAACATTTTGGCTTTAAAATTCATCAGAGAGTCATTTGAGTCAGGAGTGCTGCCCACGCCCGTCCATTTTCTTCGATGAGTAGCCGGTTCAAGCCCAAGTAGCAGTGATCGCGAGAAATAGCGATTTTATCGGTTGATTATCGCGATTATATCGGTAACAATTTATCGGAATATTATCGAATAAAAAATTGCGATTTATGGCGATTAAATCGCTGTGCATCGCAATTTTTTGTTCAATAAAATCGCAATCAATTTTCCTCGATAAAATCCCAATTAAATCACCATATATCGCGATTTTTGTTGCGATAAATTGCCGAGCGATAAAATTGCGATTTTATTGTTACAAGATCGAGGATAATTGCTCAGATGTTGATGATCTTATAGCGATTTTATCGCCGACAAAATCGCAACAAATCGCGATTTTTCCGTTGAAAAATGCTACTTGGGAGTGCAGAGATGTAGATTCATGTAAGGAATCCGTAACAAAGAAAACTGACTTGATCGTTCCTACGTAAGAAAGATTGTTGAAGAGAAAGATACTTAGTATTTACTTTTTACACTCATAAGAAGAAGTTTTATCTCTCCCCTCATTCTAACTCAGCCCTTGACCCAGTTGAATCATTACTGTTGCACACAATTTCATCCCATTCGACAACTTGACCCACTGATGAAAAAGCTGTCAAGAGAAAAAAAATCGAGCAGAGCCTTTCTCATACCCGGCGGCCGCGGTGCGTAAAATCGTTACGATTAGTAATACCATGAAAACGGTTAAGGATTTTAAAGCACTACACAAGAGTACGTAAAATTTAAAATTTTAAAAAAAAAATTAAAAATTGTTTAAAATTTAAAATTTTAGTAATACCATGTCACGCGTAAGAATGAGACTTTGCGCAAGGTTATTATATCGTCTCAACTGACCTCATCGTATATTTTTCCCAATGTTTTTTGGAGTAGAAAATGAAAGAAAAATAGAGTCAAGAAGAGGATCTTGGAGGACGAGGTGCTAAAAAATAGTATTTGCTATTTCATGGAACACGTGTTCAAGGTTTCAAAAGTACAACATGGGGCCTTATGGCGGAGCGAAAGTTTAAACTCACTTTTAGCTGCTTTAAAGTTGGATTTTTGTCGTGAATTTTTCACAGAGTGTACTTTCAAACTAGTTTTGCTTGAGCTTATGAATATCTCAATTTTTTCAAAAACTGCGCTCATGCGCCTTGTCCTCCAAGCCCTTGAAGTAAAAAACGTCACTGCTTCCTAACACCCTACAGCGGCATCATTTAAAGGCATGCATTTTAGAAAATTATAGATCATGCGACCAAAACTCCAAATAATTGTTCAGTTCAGAAAATGAGAATACAAACTCAGCTCACTCAGTAGTTTGTAAATAAAAATCATTACATTTCGGACACAAAAAGGCAAAATTTCATGAAAAATGAATTCGTGAAACTTCACATGAAATTATCCTAGAAATTTTAAAAATATATGAAAGGTATTGAAAAATGTATCGTGGATTATCATGTCATGCTAGGTCATTATCAAAACGATGCGAAAATTGTTTTAAGGGATTGTTTTGCTCTTTTTTATTACTTATGTCTCCCATACGATAAAAACAAGAAAAAATTCAGACTTGAGATGAAAACTTAATTTTATTTTTCATTGTTTGGTTTTTTAGTGCGAGTTGCATTCCGCCCGTAAAATGAATGTTTCATACTTTTCAAAAATCTCTCAACCTCGTGAAATTGTCCAATCCCTCAAAAGTTTCTTTCGTTTCATGCCACTGTGTTGGGAGACCTGCGAGCACATTTTTCATTTAGATCTGCGCATGCCCTCTCGATAAAATTCGAAGGTTTGCCCTAATGCAGCATAATGTTTGTAGAGTAGCGTTTTCTGTGTCTGAAAGATGGAGGAAAACAAAAATACAACCGATAATTTAAGATAATTATTGCTTTAAAGTCACGAACCTCCAACACGGCGATATCATTCTCAAAGGTCTCTGTGTTGTAATCTGCATTGATGTACACTTGCGTAACATTTCGAACGACAACTGAGTTTTTGGATTTTGCAGTTTCAGTAATATTCAGTGCACCTGCAACTATCTCCAAATAGTCGGGGGCATTGATGTACCTGTAAATTAAAAACGGAAAAGTATGTGATGAAATATCCGAGGGAGCGATAGAAAGCGATATATAGGGCCGGGACCAACATAAATAGTTATTGAGGTAATGGTAGCTAGACACTTCACCCAATTATTTTTACCCGATGCTTAGTTTGGCCGACAAATGCAATCCAAATTAAATTTAGGCTGTGTTGCTCACGTCTTTTAAACACCGCTACAAATATAGGACAAACGGAGCCAACACACCATGGAAATAGAGTAAGAGAAAGGACTCGTTTTGATGACGGCGCAGAGATACAACTATTCGTGCTTGATGGATGTCCGTGTTGTATCTGCAAACTTGAAGGCGCGATGCGTGAACTCGCAATGCTTCGACCGATGCAGTCAGTGAGGTGCCGCTTGAATTCGAAAGAAAAGGTAAAAAAAGGCCCGTTTACATCTCTCCTATCTTCGGCTGTTTTGCTAACGTAGTCCTAGAAGCTCTACTTCAAATAAGATAGACGGAACCGACACAACGTGGAAATAGAGCAAGGGAAAGGTCGCGCGTTGATGACGGCGCAGGGATACAACTATTCGTACTTGATGGATGTCCGTGTTGTATCTGCAAAATTGAAGGCGCTAGGGCGTGAGGCGTGAGCTCGCGATGCCCCGCTCTAGGCTAGTTATGATTGTATAAGTTAACATTATAACAAAAGTGTGAGGCTTAAATGTACCTTTTCTCTGTTGAGGTTTCTCATGAATATTCCCAGCCTATAATAGCAATTTGCGGGCGAAAATTTAATGCATTTTTCACTCTCGGGATCTATGAATTAAAAACGGGTAAAAATCATGTGAGCATAATACCACTGTCGACAGATTTAATTTTTTTTACGTGGAAAAAACTAATATAATGTATTGTTTTTGATTTTTTTTCTCCCTTTCCCCTTTCATTTTGTTTTAATAATGAAATTTGCCACCTATGATGAACAATTTACATGACTATTTATACCCTCTTTTTTCATCAAAAACTTCAAGACGTAATATCGGGGGCTGACTGGCCCGGGAGGCAAGAAAAGAACCGTCCATTAAGGCCTTGTCCACGCGAGCGCGGTTCGCGGAACTTATTCCGAGGAACTTGTTCCCGGAACAAGTTTTAGCTGAGCTAAAAACTTATTCCTCCAAAACCCGGAACTTCCCCCGTACTCCGAGCTTCTATATATATGTTTCTTTTGATGTGAATTTGTTTGTTTTTGTTTTTTATGTCCATTACATGTCTTGACATTTATTTTTGTTAATTTGGCGGCCGTAATTATCTATTTTTTTGCGATAATTGTATAGTTTTATTGAAGTCCCGGTTTCAGTTCGGGCGAACTCGTGTGGACAGCATGCCTTGTTTCAAGGAATAAGTTCCGGGAACTGAGCAGTTCGTCGAATAAGTTCCTCGAGCCGCGCTTGTGTGGACAGGGCCTTCCACTTTGACCAATAGGTGTTTGCAGGAGTCCTTCTTAGCAAAATTTGAGGGCCTCATTCGGAATTTTTTCAAAAAATCTAGCAGAGCCTCTCCCCAGGGATTTTAGAACCTTTTCTACTATATCCTTCATCAGGATGGACTCAAATCTCTTTTTTGGGGGGGAGGGGGGGCTCCCTCTACAAAATTTGGACCCAATCCACCCCTGTGTAAAATTCATTGCGCGCAAGTACACAAATGTTTGTATCGAAAAAATAACAACATTTTACTCACTCCTGAACACAACTAGCAGCTGTGATGACGTGATAAGGACTAGCCAACGCACCACTGCATACCGGCAAACTAGCCAGGCTTGGTCTGAGCCTGATGAGAATCTGGAATTAGTAAACATTTTGATCAGTGGTATGTCAGAAAACTGTAATAATGATAAATGAAATGCAACAAAATTCCAATGTCATGCATAACCGGAATCACGGGGGAGGGGCCCCCTCCTGATTCCCTCAGAAATATACTTGGCCTCCTGTGGGAAATTTAAGGGGTTTTACATATTCAGTTAGAGTGGGACAAATTTTCATCTTTAAGGTTGTATTTCATCAATTTTTTTGGCGAGGACAGCTTAAAATTGCTCCTGAGACGACTAAGTTTCTCAAAAATTTCCCGCTGGAGAGCCTGAGAAGGACCCAATCCCAGGACTTCCACAGGCCATTTTTATCCTGCCATTCTCTGAACATGTCCTGTCCATACCATAAAAGTTGCTTTGTCATGATGTCATGCACGCTGGTCTGTTTGGCATCCATGATCTATTAATTCCAAACGCCCACTAGAAAAAGTCGCTTGGATCTAGAGTCCGGACTCTTAATACAAGAAAAAATACTCATGATTCAATCCGATTTTTCCTTGAATCGAAGAGCCGAGCCTCTTAATTTAGGCGGATTTCCTTTTGATTCAAGCCAAAAGTCCGATTGAATCAAGAGTATTTTTTCTTGTCAATGTTTTTAAGAGTCTGAACTCTAGATCCAAGCAAATTTTTTTCAATGCGATCTCTTCCGGCAATACAAGTTGATTTACACTAGAAGTCCATCTTTATTGCATGCCTCTAAGACTTTGCGATAATGCAATATCACAAGTAAAAAATAAAATGCATTTTCTATGATCAATTTATCAAAGTCATGAATCAGCCATGCAATTTCAAAATCATTCTTTCCTCAGTGACTTACTTGATATGGGTATTCTCCAAGTCTTGCTTGATGCCTAGTAGTCAATCTCTGACGCTCCCAGTGCATCCCAGTGCTTCTTGGTTTTGACAGTGGATATGCATCGATTTCTGAGCAGAAAAACAAAATTGCATTAATATGCAGGTAATATTGTTTTCTTTAAAAAAATGTATGCAATAAAATAATAGCATTAAAATTACGATAAGTATGTGCGCCAAAAGCTTGATTTTACCAGAGATTTGATAGCTTTGAAATGTTAATTATCAATGACTAAAAATGAAAAATGTGTGATTCCGATTGCGACGTTGTAACTCTCGAGTCATCTTTTCTTCGAAAGCATATAATCAAAATATCTCCTTGAAATTTTGTTGTGAATTTGTTTTACGTGTTCCAAATCACTCATGTAGAAAATTTCATAAAATATTTTGGTTATTCGTAAAGAAAACAAAACATAAGTGCCCGGAGATTTTAAATGTTGTGATTAAGTTATGCATTCTTCGATTTCAGTTATTGATATTAAGTCTTAAAGATGAAATATTTGTGAACCTTGGTATCATAATATAATCTGAAGGAAGACATCGAGGAAACATATTCTAGCAATTAAGTCTGCACTGAAGGCTATGGATTCAATGTTCAAGAAATATCGGAGTTGAACACAAAAAACAAGTACCTCGATTACAGCATTCCAAAATCCCCGCTCCAGTTCAGTTTTTTGAGAGAGTAATACAAGACATTCTTTTTACAAAATTTTTTGGTGGTTTCACTATTTCACTATAGTTCTGCTTTTAAGAGAACGCGAACATGGCTGATCAAATGGAGCGATTTAGTTTTAAAAAAAACGGATTGTGATACAAATACAAAGAGAGGAGGGGTTAGTTTTCCTAAAGTTTCTAAAGGCTCTTAAGTTTTGTGATGAATTTCATCAAAAACACACGTCAGCTTGCTATTGCTGAAACAGTAATTTTTCCCCATTTTCCTCCACTTCATATCAGTAACGCTTCACATGCCACTGTTTCACATCAATAATTTCCGTTGTTTGAAAGGAATTTTTGACTATGACAAAACAACAAATACATTCCTCATACGAAGAGGAACATAAATGTTATAAAAAAAATACGAATTACCCAACGATGCATTATCAATTCTGGGAAATGATTCTGAAGAACCTCTCAAATCAATGGAAAGTCTGAACTTTATCCGGCACGGTATCGCGGCTTTTCACGTCATAGACTCAGTTTCAATTTCAAGTCCGCCATTCAATGACAATAACTGCCACTTCATTCATCTTTGGCTGGTGCTAAAACGAACCCACTGGCTGCATTTGAAATGAAGAGCAGATAAATTTTTATCCTGTGTGTTACGATTTAATCCTTGATTTCTCTTATTTTCCTCAGAATGTTTAAAATTTGTCTATATTTGGCTCTGGGCAGCATAGAAGTAGCCAGATTCAAGTTTTTAGTTCTTAAGCGTTGGTAACTCCTGACTTATTCAAGGCAGCGCTAACCCTTGACGTGTAAGCCCTTTTGATTCAACCTTGATCTCGTTTTGTGATCTTAGGAATGGATTTGACACCTACGCCACTACAGTGTTCTTCACAATATTTCATACAAGTTAGGTTAATGAATTGCAATTTTCAAAACCTTATTATAGTCCTATCTCAATCTTACGAAGTTATTGCATGTAAAATCTCTGGTCCTCGAGCATTCTATACCTCTCATAAGTGGTACCGAGCTCAACTAGTTATATGATGCGACATAACACGTGGTCACGCCACGTTTCGTGTTTTACCACGTTCACTAAAAAATGGAAATAATTTTTCAGCACGTTTCAGCAGACGTCCTCAAGCACATTTGGACTGCGTTAAACAAAAAGGAACCAAGCCACATCAGCTATTGCCAAATTTAATCGGGCAATTTAGTTCTTTACATGAAAACGGTTTTGCGGATTTTTGTGCAAATTTCTATGAATTTTCTCCATAATACAAAGCAAATTCCTTAAAATTTTCGAAGAAATCCGCACAAACGTTCTCTCGTAAAAAGTCAAATTCCTCTGTTAAATTTGGCAATAGCTGATGTGGCTTGGTTCCTCTCTGTTTAACGCGGTCCATTTAATGCTGCATCAATATTTCGTCGATTGGAGGGTATCATTCACCATATCCCCCTCCGCTACGTTGCGAATTAAAGGCCAAGTTCATGATGAGGGGAGGGGGGGTGAGTTCGGGGCTATTTCATTGTATACTTCTCGTGAAGCTGAACATTATTTACAGAATCCAGTTAAACAGAGAAAAACCTACAGCAGTTGTAAGGACGCATAGCAATTTCCATCTTGCTGAAAGCTCACATTTTCTCTGAAATTGAAAATCTTCGGCTTTCCTCCCTTTTTTCGAACATGATTTTTAACTCATTGGCATATTCTACCATGGTTCATGCACCCCGAGTGCTAAATCAAAATCCACCGTGAACATAATTGCCTGGTTTATGGTTATGCCATAATTAATGGTTTGGAGATTTCGATACCTCGGAGGGACTGAGATTCGGTGAAAAGCTGATGAGAGAGGAGGATGGGAATACCGTTAACATGACAATATTAGCCTCTTAATTCCGATGCAATCAATTTCCAACATATTGCTACTCTGCCAGAATAGCCGATATTTTTTAGAAAAAAATTGTGATTTTCAATGATTTATAATCACAAAAAAAGGTTGATGCTTTTTTCCTCGTACGAATTTGAAGTTCCCGGGTGAATCAATCAAAATTCTGCCGTGTTTAGAACTCTTCATCTACAATTCAGAGAATTTTGATAAGACTTCGCTTCAGCTGATCGTGATTAACTGCATACATTCCCTGATATATTTACTAAAAAGAATAAATTTTTATTTTTATTACCGCAAAGGGCATAAAAACTTTGATCTACATTCTTCTTATCTTAATTGAGCTTTATCAAATTTGGAAGGGGGGATGTGAGACTCCTCTTACGAGAAAATAATAATAATAAAATTTCGGACAAAAATTGGACACTTAATGAGATTACATCATTTCTGCTTCGAGCTTGATCAAAGTATTACGATACTTCATAGGGTAGGTAAGGGTGGGAATCATCATTATCACCTCATAAGCATGTAAACAATGTTGAAAATCAGTGGATAAAACGTACAAAGAAAGATAAAAAAATAATAATAAATTCATTCCATTCTCCATTAAAAACTGACATGCCGTATAAGACATAATTATCATTGATATTGAACTTTTTCAAAGGAAACGCTGCGCAAAATTAATGGATGTGGAGGTAGAATTAAAATTTTGGCTGCAAGAAAACGGAGAAAATTAGCAGTGTGTGTGATGCTTTTCCAGTAATTCTCGGGTGCTTTTTCTATGGATTTAATAATTTAAGAACACTTTTTCACAATACATGATTGACATTAGTCAAGTAACCAGGAACTTATTAGGAACCCAACATTCTTACCTGACACGAAAGCCAATAGCATTCCCAGCAAAACCCACATTATGTGTTTTCCAGACATTTTTCAGTTTCTTGTATACCTTTCTCTCACAAACGAACGTAAAAACTACTTTAAATAAATGTAATGAACACAAATTTTCGAAACTTTTAAATTAATTTAAAAACAAATCAAAAATCATGTCATGAGATTTGGAGGGGTGGCCTCAAATTTGTTGTTTTGGTGATAATTTTGAAGGAAATCGCACTGTCGTTGGATCCCCGCTATGAACACAGCGGCGTCTCAAGATCATTCAACTAATGAATTGTCGGCGCTCGCACTTAAAGTCCACGCACCAGAAAAAGTGTTCCTACCTATCAGCACTTAAACATTAAAAGGAACAAATATGAAGCTACCGCTAAATTACACCGGATCCAGCACGATTTAAGTACAAACAACAGCAGACTGGATTAACGATTTTATTTATCTGAGGACTCTCAAAAAATACCAAGAAATGGTTATCTTCAATGAGACTGAAAATCTTGACAAGCTGAGTGTGCGGCTATTACTTAACGGTTTTTTTATATTTTTTAGCCTTCTTTCAGACTCTTATATACCATACATCAATGCTACTTTACTTGCGTACATGATTCATCCATGCGCTTTTGACTGAGAGCCCTCACTCTCTTGTGTGGAAATCAGAGCATCTCAATTGAGATTTTTTCCTTCCTGTTGCACTGATTCTTGTATTGGCTCCGTCTTTTATGGAGCCGCTCAGGTAGCTTCGGAAAAACATATCGATGGTGAAAGTACCAAACTGCGTCTTGTTTGCGTTGTTTTAAAATCTGCTCCACCCCCATTTTATTTTTCTGATGGAGAATAAATCGATATCTTTCCTTGAGGTTTTCAAAGAGGTTCCTTCGTAGGAAGAAGAAAAATTACAGAAGTTTTCAAGAATTGACGTTGAGTAGTTTTCCACTGAAAAAATAAAGTATAACAGGAAGTCTGCAACGTCGCAAACCGATATACGTGGTCCAATAGTTTAACTATTGATATGCATTATGCATTAGCACGGATTACTCAAATCGCAGTTTTTATTCACAAATTATTTATTTAAAAATGAGACCAATCAGCGCTACTGCTTAAACTTTACGAAAGGATCACCACCCTTGGGCGAATCGCGTTATACTTTCTTTTTAAATAAATAAATTACTTTTAATTAAATACTTTACTTTTTATCGTGTCAACTCATTGAAATTCCTCGCAAGGATCTATGTATATCAAAATGTTATACTACTGTATTTTACTACACAGAGAGAAAACTCAATACAAATGTTCGGCTAATTCGGGAAGTAAAACATAAAATAACTCAAGCCTTCGGTTGACTCCGAGGTTCCCCAGTCTCTCCATTATTGTTTTCTGCGCTGAATTCACCGCAAACTTTACCAAACGCAACACAAAATTTGGGTTGATTTGTGTTTCAATTCCTTTATCGACCAAACGTAACACAAGAACACTAAGTAATATTTTTATCAGGGTGGAGGAGCGCAAAAATTGTCCTTGAAATGAAAGGTCATTGCCAGAATGTCATTTTAATGAAAAACCTTCTGAACTCGAATGTAAGCCGCGTAGAGCCTTTTTAAGAAAAAGAACTGTGTGAAGAACACGGAAAAAAATAGATTGCTGACCTAACAATTAAATTGTTAAAAAATTTGCCCGACATGTTTCAAATGTACATTTTACAATAGTGAGCACTAATTTAACTATGAGGATGGTTAAATAAGCATTTTTTAATCGTAAAATCTACATTGATCATGTTGGACACTTTCTTTTAACTACAAAATTGTTAAATCAACAATATCATTTTTTCCCCGTGAACAACTATTAATGGGGCCTTAAATTAAAGGTCTTGCTTGGGAGGGGGCTAAAACCGAAAACACCCTACAAAGTTTTGAATTCATTTTATGCCCTGCAAACATACAGAGCGTCAAAGAAGGACAGTACACCACAGCAGCGTCTAGCTTATCGCGTCGCGTGCAAGGATTACCAAAACGCCTTCATTTTTTGAGTACGCAACGCGGACATCCGTAGAGCTGGTATAGTTGCATCCGGATGTGGTGATCTACAACGAGCTCTTGGATCTGTCGTCTTTCCGAGCTCAGATGTCTCATCATCCTTTAACATTCAGTAATCTTTCTTGAATGTTCTGTTCTTCTTCTTAGTCTTATTTTTATTTTTTCAAAACAAATAATGATTTCACAGCGACTTGATTCATGCATAATCGAAGTATTGTGGTATCAAAACAGAAACTTTACCGGATTGTGTTCAGCAGAAAAGTACCTACTCACGCCGAATTCATTCCGAAGAAAATGTTCTTCGAAAACTTCTTTTCTAGGTGAATTTCTTCTTTACATTTCTTAAAATATTTTTACGAATACATTTACATATACAAATACATTTACATTCCCTGGTAAAAATTGGCGATAGGAGCTGCGTTTCAAAATACCATAGCAGTTCTTATAGCCGACTGAAGAAGGCGATAGAAAATCATATAGCTGGCTGTAGAAAGTGGAAAAAATCATACGGTCGACTTCACCCAGCTATAAAAAATTAAACAGCCGGGCTACAGTTCCTGTCGCTGGGCTTTACACTTCATCGCCATCGGCTATGAAAGGTTATTAGAAATTGTGTAGAAATTCGTGTGCTTTGTAAATCTTTAAGTTTGTACGGAATCACCATACTTTTTACAAAACGAGCATTATATTTTCCTTTACTACATAATTGTTTTCATCAATTAAAATGAGAATAATCCATACAGAGTGTGCAAACATTTCAAAGTCATGAGTTGAACAACGCTGACTCCACGAGATTAAATATTAGAGCCTAACACAAAGCGGAGCGGCGGCGCACTGGCGCCTACAAACCTAACAGGGATACTTCACGCATCGCGCAATGCGTGAAGTATCCCTGTTAGGTTTGTAGGCGCCAATGCGCGTTCAGCGCTGGCTGCCCGCCCGCCGCGCCGCAGCGTACCGCGGCGCTTGAAGCAACTATTCCACACCAGAGGTATTGCACAGTATCATACGAAACTGAAGGCGCTCTAATATATTAGGAATGGCAGGCATCCATCAAAAGTACGGAGCTTTGCTCGCAAAATAAATCAAGATACTACGGCCCAAAAAGAGAGCAGTGGTCCAAAAACTCACTAAGTCCTAACATCCGTAATTAGTAACGTTTAGCATACACTTTATCGTCAGGCTGTTGCTTGATCGCCATCGGCTATAAAAGGCTATAAGAAATTGTGTTGCCGGCTATAGAAGCTACTGGAAATCTTACAGTCGGCTGTAGTCAATGGTATTTTTGAACACGGATTCTTATGCCAATTTTTACCAAGGTTTACATGCAAATACATTTTCCTCCCTCCGAAAACGTTTAAAAAAGACGAATCGCCGATTTTGGCACTCAGTAAGCACCATATTTTAAGATGCCCTTTTGAATGGTCCTTAGGAGCAACCATACGACTCCAAGATGTAGCTGGGAATTTGCAGTTTTCCAGTGGAGAGCATTTCAGACCCTAAAAACGCAACTGATCGTGTGGCATGCTCTGTCAGATCTATTGATAAAACGGCGTCATTCCTGGAATTATCATCGTCACAATTTCTAGTGCTCAATATTAATATTTTTAGGATCATAGGAACTGCAGTCATTCGTGGAGTGTCATTCTGCTAAGTAGTAATTCAGATGCGACAAAGAGAAAAAATTCCAAACACTTCGCCTGCACGCTTGCTCATCACAGTGGCGAGGCGTGAATGATCGATTATCGATATTTCCTCATTTCCTATGTGGTAAAGAATCGATTATCGAGGTGTCCGCCGCGAACACCCTGTTTATTGATCCTTTTCCATATTTTGAATGGCAGATAAATCGATGTAACGCATAACATGCCATGCCACTGACGCTCAAGTTTTCTTTCTCTTACGTGAGATCCGAAACGAAAACGAGCACTCTACTCCCATGCTAAGGAAAAACGCCGTATGAACATTCGAATTTGGCCTAATTTACCCTCAGAGATGACTTATTTTTGAGGATAGTTGTGCATATTTTTCATTGGAACTTTCAGGCGCTATAGATCAAATTACGTACAAAATTTCCTGAAATTTTGGAGGGAAAGTATCGAAAACTTTTCCAGAAAATTCGAGATTTGTTAAATGACGTTTGGCAACTCTTGAAGGCTCATTTTGCGTTCTTCCTTGGCACGGCAGTTAAGTTGAGGTGCTCAGATCTGCTTCTCGAAAATCACAAACAATTATACTTCCAGGAACAACATGAGCAAAGCTCTATTTCTTTTAATATAAAGTATATATGACGGATTCGGATTCGGAGAATATTAGAAGGAATTCTCAACATTGAAATAATGTCTCGTGATGAGTGTTCTTATGAACACATGCGCTACATACTTACAGTTGTTAGCAAGAGTAAGAACCCGATAATTTCGAACAGTAGGAAATGGATTAAAAGTATCTAAAGACAAAGAAGGGTTCATTTTTACGAAAGAAGATTACAGTCGGGGAAACCTAAAATCGCTGCTTAATAATTCTTAAAATAATTTGATGAGCCATGAGTGCCTCTTGAAGTTCGCAGACCAATTCTTAAAATCGTGGCGTCTTCTGCTGTCGCGAAGGAGCTCAGCGAAGTGATAATTGAAATTGATAGAAAAAGCGATAGACATAAGAGACAGAGGGAAAATGAAGCGATCCTATTGCTTGAAAGGGATGATTGAAATAAACATATAGGAGGTAAGTAATAGACTAACTAACGGCAACCCATAGGAGACCCTACAGAATGATAACCCTCGACAACTTTCGGTCCATCAGTTTTCCCCTCAGTATGAGAAGCACCCGTTTCAACCAATAGGGTCGCTTAGACATGCTCCCGTGCGTAGTCTTCTTTGTCCATAATTTTTTTTTTTTTTTTTTTATAGCCAATTTTCACAGAAACTTCTTTTCTACTTTAGCAAATAATTATTGTGTCTAAGATTATTTAGAATTTCAATCCAAGTGAGAATACTTGACTTTTTGTTCAGGCATTCGACAAAAGAATTTGAATGGTACACTAAACCTTGTGTTTTTTATTTAATATTCTGAAAATACCGGGCGAGGAGATTTCTTGGTGATTCATTTCGCATTCATGGGGCCAAAATCCCGGACAAGCCCGCTTTTATAAAATCCAAAAACCCAAGGGGCTTTCCAAACCCCAAAGTGGAATTTTGGGGGGCTGAAAATATTTTCATTCAATCCTTAGGGGTTCATTTACCCCTCATGTTTACGTCCAGACGCTGGGTTTTCTACCCCGTTACCAAGTGCTCCAGAACACCCGGTAAAATACATTCATAATGTATTCATCCCCCTTTCCCCTCTTTTTGCAGTATGTTTGCTCATATTGCAGTCGAATGCAAGTAATCCATGCCAGAAAGAAATTCACTTTCCAAAGAAAATTCCATTAATTCGCTCCATATTCCAGGTGTTTCTGCCGAAAATTCGTCATG